GAGACAGCGCCGGCGCCAGAGCAAGCCTCCCTCCCTTAGGGACTAGGAGGCGAGCTCCCAGGAGGGTGCGAAACAGAGACAGATTTGATAAACTCGTGATTTTGTATTCTTAATCGCTATAGCTGGAGTTTCTAGGAAATGGACTAGCGTAGGGAGCAGTTTATAGACCCTGCCCACGGGACTGAGAGCACGTAGTCGCAGCTGCGGGCGCAGTGCACTACAGGAACATTCTTGGGAAGACCACTTTAATTTGTTGGTCAGCGGCTACATGTTATTCGTAGGGAAAATCTCAGTACATTGCGGGTCTGCACGATCTTCCGGTTTTGCCAGAGCTCGGCACTGACATTCAGGTAGGTAATAATGTGCTTTGCCAGAAACAAGTTATAGCATGCATAATTTCTGAGATCCCACGAATAAGCCAATTAATAACGGAAGTTACGGTCACTGCCAATTTGTATGTTTGTGCGGGCAAATCGAGGTTTCAGTCCAAGAAATTTCCTGGACTTCACTGTGAATTTAAAGTGCACGTCGCAAATATCGGAGCCCAAATCAATTTTTATAAGGTTATGGCAGCCTTAAAATCTAGCATGTCCCATAGGCCCAAAGGCTTCTGGGCAGGCCTAAAGGCCTTCTCCCTGTGCTGAATGCCGAAAGTACGAGGTGGCGTGCGATCACGGCAAACAAAATGGCCGATTCACTGCCTAGAGAGTTCTGGAGTACACTTGAGCTAAAAGGAAGCACCACGAACGGAAAATCACCACAATCTTACTCCAGGCGTAGTGGGGAGAACCGAATCCCACAAAAAGGACGCTCCAAGGAGTCCAAAATTATTCCGTACTGTTTGGGAAGATTAATATCTTTTCAAGTATAAAGCCTGTAGCCATTGCGGTATGCGACAAGGAAGTCCAATGCTGCAAGACGTGGAGGTGTTCCCAGTTGGTCACTGATCTCACAAGCAGCGCGTCCTTAACGTGCCTATCTCAGCATGCACAAGCCTTGCTCGTTGCAAAGACGTAAACACCATGCCTTTTCTTCTATTTGTGAGTGCGTTTCGTGATTGGAGCGCGGGGCAGCCCGCAACTCCAGTTGTCATGGTATCTGCTGAGCCACTCAACCCTTCCTGTACTCTGCTTTAGAGGCGCACTCTGGATAGTGGCAATAGCGCATCTCTTTTTCACACCTGAGGCTGCTCGAAGTCTTTCGTAGTCCAAATTGAGCCTCATGTAGTGATGTCCAGAACTCCATGAAGCCTTCGTACATTGAATAGGCTCATCGATAGTTCGACTTCAAGTTGTGGATAATTATGATTCTCGAAGCTTATAACTGAACCCAAACGCAAACATTGCGGAAAACTTAGAAGCCATCCATGATTCAGAGAACTAAGCGTGAACGTGTGTGAGACCGCGGCGCCAGTAACTAAGAAAAATAGAATGTTTCATCTTTCAGACTCGATGAGACATATACGACTAAATCGTTTCTTTCTGAATCTATAGCTAAGAAAAGGTGTACAGAATGGTTCACACTGTGCCTCATACATATTCTTACGGGCAGCGTAAGGTGATGGCAACGATTAGAAGCTTGGCTCGTTACGCTCAGCATTATTGCCTTATACTGAAACTATGCATGGATGCTCAATGCCGAGCTTTATATGAAGTTCCATTCTTCTTGATGGACCTATGCCTTTCGTCAGTTTGTATGGTAGCGCTAATAAGCATTTCCCGAAAGCGGCTGTTTTAGTGTTTTCAATAAATCACCAACGTGGCAATGCCAACTATCGCATTTGCGCAGGTGAAAAGGATGAAGGCTGGGTCCCAAGGTGATAAATATGCGAAAAAAGCGAGCTGAAGTAAGAAAAACTAGCCGGGATCATCGCGCTTTTGAACTGATTTGTACTTTTGAGTTTCTAAAGTTTCATAGTGTCACTGCTATCTATTTATCTTGGTAGCCACGAGGTCTCATCCTTAATCTACCTGGAGATTACGGCATATGCGTAGCTGTGAATACACACGTGCAGCGAAAACATCAAACTATTGCATATGAGAAATAGAGGGGGGAAGCGTGCCTTGCAGTAAGGTCAAGGCACACGGAATGGCGAGTGGCTAGGTGCAGCTGTTAGACAGGACTGGAAAAATTTAGAAAGTCCGAAAGAGCATCAATTGCTTTTTATCATTAAAGCAGATATTTGCCCGAGGTACCCAGTAATGCCATGAGTACCATATTACACCAAGGGAAGCATTTAATTAAAGCCCACCAACTTGATGAACTTGTCTGTGTATCCACTTTTATGCACTGATCCTTCAACAGAAAGTAAAATTTCGGCACTGCAGAGTGGTAGCTCGTTATTTCCATGGATCTATTTCATTGGACTTTGCATTTTAAAAGCCTCGGAGGATAGACATCAAGGCATATTTGATTGGCGTGGGTGCCGCCTGCCTTGCTCAGAAATAAACTGGTTACAAAAATCTGTATTAGCAGTCTTTTGTGCATCACTGTATGAATATTAATGCACCACTAACTATACTATGCGCCTAGAAAATGATTGCTTGCCCAAACGTCCTAAATTAGCGTGTATTCAACCGCAAAATTTCCGCAAGCAAAGCCACCCATGACGAACGCAGGCGTGCTGAGGTTTGTTCGTTATCATCAGCTTGGTCGTTCCTTTCGCCGATAAACTGGAGCAAACTGGGATTCTGACACTTCATCTGCTGTGCTACAAACGAATGAAAGCCCTCTTCATTTAGTGAACGGCATGCACTTGTATATCGTGAGCTCTGCCAGCATCAGCAGCATCCATATGCGTAGACATGCATAGACCTGCCTCTGCAAGCATGCCTTGGGCACAGGAGATTTCGCTTGCTGAAATTTTGCCGTACAATGCACTGACATTAATCCGACGTCATGCTTTCATGCAGTTTAGGCTGTCGAACTTTTTCTCGATACAGCGCATAGCCAGACACAGCTCAGCTGTCTGCAGTTTACATGGGGCTCGGATACTTGCTCTACTCGATGGATGAGATAGAAACATTGTTACTTTGGCCTTCCTACAGGAACATAACATCATTTCGGTTGGTCTTTTTTTCAAAGGAAGGAATTACTGGACTCCAAGCAATCACTCACAGAATGCACCTTTGGCGTTTGTAGCTGGCGTTTCAAGCTGAGAAATTAAATAGTTGTGCATAGAAGTATAGTACATACAATCGTCGGAACAAGTACATGGAAGCGCCCGCTACAGTATATTGATTGTCCCATTCCGCCTTAATGCAACATATTGTTGACTGTAGTTGCATCGCTGCTTTTGGCTCATAGGCCCACATGAATAGAAAATATATACCCTCAATAGGGGTTACTTGGGTATTTTCACGGAATTGTGCATTTGCTGACCACATGACGCCTGCAGCACCGGCACTGCACCTGATTCAACATCTAGCCACCGTAATGCACTGGGACACTTATGTTGAATGGCAAGCTTTGCGAACAAGCGGAACAACAGCAAAGTTGCGAATTGCTGCCTTTGCTGCAATCGTGACATTCATGCTGGATCTCACCAAAGACGACATTTCCAGATGGGGCTACGTTTGGCTGCGTGCGCGTAGCGGTTCAACAAGGTCGGACGAACAGACCAGCACTATATCTTCGAGAAAAATGACCTGATCTAAGAAAATTTTCTTTTGTGTTATTGGTTTAATTCGTGAAATGCATGCTGATAGATTTTGCACCTATTTTGGAGCTACATCCCGCTTATGTAGCTGTGCGGTTATGCACAGACAGGCACACTGGTGACCCCACAGCACCCAAGCCTCCGAATTTACCTGAATTTACCAGTGGCCAGCCAGTGCATTGAAGCTTTTCCTGATTATGTCAGCATGCAATAAACCAGAAACAATATGGTCATATAGGCAGGCAACCATAATGCGAAAACAAGGTTTTGCAAACATCGGTTACCCGCATTGCCTTTCCAGTTTTAGGCTTTCATTCACCTGCCCAAATGAGAGTTCATATAGTTCAGTACCCCCTGGCAGCTTCTGTGCCGCTAATTTTGGGGGCATGCATGACCCTTTCCGTCCTCTTATTTTGCATGCTTATCCTCCTTCTGTACTTGAGGAGCAACAGTGAGCTTACGATGCTGCACAGGATAAGCAACTGCTTGCGTGTGTTGGTAGTAAGCCAGACCGCATTTACGGTGACAGCTGTTGTAATTTTGTCAGTTGTCAATGCAGCCGAGGACCGATCCTCTGCTACTTTCTCCACCATTATATCTGGGCGCCAAGCGGCCAACGTCCTGAAAGCAGCTTTTGCTGCACTTGTTGCTGGATATTCTTTCTTTGCAACCGAGCATCATATTTTTAGGTGGGTAGCACTTGTGGGTGCGGCGACAGTTTCCGGCATAGATGCTGTGGATCTGGCAAACCTGGGCCACCTGATAGGGCAACTGCAGGCAAGCGAGGATGCCCTCAGTAATGGAGATGCCTCAGCCCAGTCCCTAGCAATATGGGCTCTAAAGATCCAATACTCTGCAAAAGTGTTTTCATTCTTCTCCTGGCTGCTGGCAATGCAAATAATTGGATGCCTTATGCATGCTTTGGGATGGTTTGAGCTCAATGAGCTTCCAAACGACGAGGAAGTTGCAGGGCACTTGAAGGAGCTTGCAAGGGCCACAATTAACAGACGTATCCAAGAGAAGAGAAATCCAGAACGATTCGAAGAAGGAACTGGCAAACGCCTCTTTAACCCAACCGATAAGTTGGAGGTAACATGGGATCAGATGACAGATTTGATAGTCGGGCGAGATAAACGGACAAGCCATCCTATTTCCACCAATCCCCGTGGACAAATCCCTCCTGAAGTTAAAAAAGAGCTGCGTCAGATTCTTCTCAAGATGGGAATAAAACGAAATCAAATTTATGAAATACTTGACGACGAAGAGGATGAATGAAATTATCAGATCTAGCAAAAAGCTCGCTATTCTTTCCCGTTTATGCCCTGAGCTGCTGAAGGCGAAACGTATCGGGGGAAATAGAAGGAAAATCCTGTCTGTGAATGATGGAGAACCCCATCCAAATGCAAGTGGTTGCAGCAGCGGCTTCTGTAATGGCCAGCAAAGGCGTTACTCTGCAGTGAACCACCTCTGGGTCGGAAACTCAACTTTTTAATGCAACAGATTCTCTGATGTAGGCATGAGGCTTTTAAAAAGCTAGCCAGTTTTGTTCGGATAGTGCAAATTTATCCTCTCAACAGACCAGGGCAGCTAGGTTTTTCGTATATAGACCATGACATCGACCAAAATTCCCTAGCGTGTTACCTTCACCATGGACTACGCAGTCGTACTCGGCGGACTTCCGTACAATTGACTACACTGCTCCTTGATTCAGTTGAATGCTCTCTTATCTTTTGATTTCTAAAGTTCACTTGTAGGCATGCCTCCGCGGCATGAAAAATTCACCAGAAGAAGCCACAAAATGAAGTCGATAATTCACAAGTTCACAGCGCACACAGCAGTGGTCTGCCCAAGCAAAAGGCACTGGAAAAATCGGCTGCGTCAGAACAAAGGGAGGAAATATTTTCCATATGATCAGGTTTATGCTGTGATTTTGATGCGGACAGTCTGAGCTAGAAAACATAGAAGGCAAGATTTCTGTGGTATTTCGATTTATGGTGCCTTTTTGTAGAATACAAAAAACTTGACAGGAAGGGGGTAGTAAGGATTAGTGAGGGTTATTTTGTCAGAAATTTGCAGAAAAATCTCTCTTTAGTCCGGCTAAAGGAAATGTTCTTCAGAAAAGGTCTAAGGCAAGTTATAAAGAAGATATCGCAATTTGCTGATTCGCCCCAAGTGACTGGCAGGCCGCTCAGTGGGATATCCAGCGGCTAGTTGCTTGATACTCAAGAAGTGCAGTACAAATATAACTTGCTTTTACAATATCCCACGGATTCTTATAATACTTTCATTGGTTGCTTCGCCTTTTGCTCTCTCGAGCATACAGTTCTTCGCAGAGCGGTTGAGTGCTTACCAGTCCTTTGGTCACCTCTCGTTGCATCTGAATTCTACGAAGAGTAGGTGCACTTTATTCACTGGAGCAACTCTACCACATTAAATTGAGTAAAAGCTAGGCTGGGTTGGTGACCATCGGGGTGGTAGTGCATTTTCTGGTGAGTTCAGTCACTGAGAGGGTATTTTGCACAAAATTTTAATCGCGCTTTAATCCAGTAGAAAGAAACCAAGCATATTCACAAAAGAAAAGCGTGCAGACCCTAAGACGAGACCTAAGAGGCCAGACAAACGGCGCTGAGCTTCAGTTATTGCAGAAGGTAAAAGTAGGGAACCAAGGCTGACTTTGCACATACGCTTTTCTTTGTAGCCAACTCTTCATGACCTCTTACCCTTAAGCTCACGAGTTTGCTACTGTGTTATGTGAAAATGCATTTGCTTCAAAGAAGGATGGATCTAACAGAAAAAGCTCCACTGAGCGCCTTATGCCATGCCTGTAGGTTCCTTACAAAATCTTGAACCACGCTCCTGCCTTCAAAGGAGTGGTAAGAAGCTGTGCCCTTTGGAGTAGCCCACAACATTTCGTAAAAGAAAGCTGTACCTTGTCTATTAAATATCATGTCACACTAAACAGCACAGTAAACAGCAAACGGTTCGCGAAAACTGCATATTGGATTCAGGGTTTTAGGGTTTAGGGCTTGGGGTCTAGGGTTTAGAGTTTAGGCTCTAGGGTTTTAGGGTTTACGGGTGTAGGGTGGCATATGCTGCGGTCAATGTAAGGCAATAAGCACATTTCCAATACCAGTTGTGCTCGATATAGCGCGTTTTCATTGGGTCCCATACACTGTGCCGCATTATGCGGCTTATGATTAGCAGTTCTTAAACATGCTAAAGCCGGGCCCAAATTTTACGACAGCTGCTGCTGTGCTTGTGACATACGCTGGTTTTAAAAACAACTGCATTGAAATTACATTTGTACATGCACTGCAGCGTTCAAAGTTTTTCAGCAGCACTTGCGCCTCCTCATGCGTGTTTTCAGCGGCTAAACGAGACCATATGGAGGAAAATGCGCTTTGTTTACCACCGGAGTGCGTAGCACCACCACCGCTGGATAGATGTTGAATATCTGCCGTGGCTGCAAAGCTTAGCCTGGGCTGCTCGGCCCTTAGATGAGTCGCCCGCTCTGCTGCTTCATACTACTCTTCTTCCTTCCCCCATAGTAGAGCAATCTAAACTTTGATAATTTCAAACAATGTTTCATCTGTGTCGAAATTTTAGACTTCGGAGCAGCAGCGTTCCCCATCTGGGTCAGGAAGGAAGTGCGCTGTGTTCGATGCGAGGCGGCCCCACTGTGCGTTAAAGGTTCGATGTTTTATTCACCGAATTAGCTCGATGGAGACAGCATTCATCCTTGACCTGTTGCGATAGTGTCAAGAGTCCTGTTCTCACCAATAATGAGGAGCCCCGCTTAGCGTCGGGCAGCGGCAAGCGCGCTGGGCATCGTGAATAGGAGTGTTGCGTTGCTGGGAGGGGCTTCCGGTAGGCCCATAGCGTTGTGTCCTAATTCTCAGAAGGGATAGGAAAGTAAAGACTGATGCTGTGGGGCTGGGAGAGAGAAAAATTTACTATCATGGAGCGGACGACGTGGAGGAATTGCTCTGGGATGCGCGGCAGCAACCAATTTCTCGTGGTCATTTGACCAGGGCCATAGCTAACCTGGGGAGGATTCGCCCACAGTTTTGCATGGTGTTGATATTAAGGGCTGCTCAGAGCATCTGCAAGCATGTGGAAACGTTGTTTATTTGTATGAGAAACTCTGCCGTGAAGCTGTGGCATGGGCAAGGATGTGCCTCTTCTAATCCTCCTGCGGTGGCTGCCAGCCACCGCCTTGCCAGTCCTGGGATCTTTCTGTGTACAAAGTCTGTCAGCTGCTTTTGTGGCAGCTACAGGACACCAAAAGTACCCACGTTTGATGCTAAGACGAATGTCAAGTCGAGGCCCCACAAGGGAAGTATGCGTCATAGCTGGTCCCGAGACGAGTGGTTCCGAGAAGAGTGCTGTGCCAGGAAGAGGGCCCACTACATGTCTCTTTCCCAAGCAATGCAGGGCGACAAAGTAACAGCTTGCTTCAACAAGCTACTAGCAATGACAATGCCGGCTGGGCGCCAGCGGTGCAAGCAAGGCTGGCCTGATTGACTGCCTCAGAAGCAGCGGTTCACAGTCCTGAAGAGATTCCCGCATGTGAGATTATTGTCGCCGACGCTAGGAGATCTGTGCATTGGTTTCGTAACAGGAGCCTATATGGGCGTATTTATGTGAAGTCGATATCAACTCAAGTCACGCGTCGTTTGCAAACTAGCGCGCCAGTACATTACTGTGGATGAGGAACAGCGTGTGGTCATCCATGGGACTGACGGATGAAAGGTTCCTAAATTGCTTGCTTCTATAATTAATGAGGCACGGGGAAAGCTTTAGAGCTAATTTCCTGCCGATTTTGGGCTACAAATAGGCGTAGAAGACCAGGTACAGAGGGTATGGGTCCGTTACCTTGGTGTGGCATAGGTTAGGACCGTTGTTGGTATGGTCACTGTAAGGAAGGCGAAAGGCTGATTATCTATGTAGTGCGAAACTTCAGACATTTGGTTTCTTTCTGGTTGCTTTGCAGCTTTGATCCGTGAGATATTTTATCAGATGCTTCTAAACCACATTCGCTGCTAAAGGACAACGAAATAGAGTAATGAATCCACTCTAGGGAGGATGGGATGTAAGGGGCCGTCACACTCTCTCGGCCGCAAGGTAAGACGGCTGCTCGTTTCGAGCAAACCACAGAAAAAGGCCAGGAACGAAAAGTTAGCCGCAACGACATTACATTCTTTACGATTTTGGAGGTGCTTCTTCCAATTTGGCCCACTAATGGCTGATGTTTCTGTCCATCATAGTGGCGTAATGTCAGCACGGTTTTTAAGAGCCCCTTCCGTTGTGGCTACATGGATTCGCACACATGTGTACTTCCTAAAGACAACGTTTAAACATCGACAAAGTTCAATTGACACTGTTCTATGTACAAAGTGTAAGGGATACATCTATCTCTCCGTGCTCGCTGCATGAGTTTGCTACGCAATGCAGCTTCGCCATTTCTTGCCACCCCTAAGCGCCGTGCCCAATAGCTGAGCACACCAGGCCTGCTTGTCAGAATACTGAGTCCCGTTGTATAGTAATCACATAAACTCTCCCTGGCAATCTGTATAGTTTAAACTGCATGGCCCTGAATGGCATTTCTGGGCTACGTTGCGCTGCTTCATAACACATCTGCTATCCAAAACTTCCTTGAATCAAAATCCACGGCCAATACCTAAATTTTAAAAGTCGTTATGCCAAAGGTTTTCTTCTCACGAACAAATTCATTTGGAGCACAGCACACAGGCACAAGATAATATGCAAAGCCCGAAAGAACCGTTGTCGCTTCTACCTCCACTGAAGGCTCTCTTGAGCTGCATGCCTCAAGCTTACGCTATAATAAGAAAACGCCCAATGGAGGCTGAGCATTAGGCTGTAAGTGGAAAAATTGTGCCTGTGACTGCAGTAATGCTTCACATGCTAACTGTGCTGGAAAACCTTGTGCTAGCTGAGTCGTTCAAGAGGTTAGTTGCGTTTCGCACGTGGATCCTACCCATCAGAGTCGTCCATTCTCATGACCAAAACGCTGGTGAAAACGCAATTGATTTCATGTTCGCCAAAAATAAAGAAGAAGTAGCGAAGCACGCCGAATCTACCTGTCCACAACATTCAAACGCTGGATCTTTGACGCCGACTAGAGGCTCATTTTGCAGCAAGATTGCTGCAGCTGCTTATTTCTCTTGACAGTAAATAACTTAAAGCTAGTTGCAGTTGCTGGGTTGAACTCTGAAAGAATGCTAATCGGCACCCAAATACGGAGAGAAAATTGGTTAATGCCTAGCAGTCCACAGTTGGCAAAGCTAGCAGACGCGCAGCCCTTATACCTATATTGAGACGGAAAGGCCCGTCTGCATGCCCACAGTAATCCAATCCTACACGAACACAGTAGTGCGGGTGATAGAAGCACTATTAGAAGAAGTACAGTTGCAGTACTCATCTTCTCTACACTCGTTGGTGTGGACTGGACTGTCATGAGGCATCCATTCAAGCCAGTTTGGTGCTAGCACGCTGCCAATTTCCATGCCCTGTGGCCCTCAGCTTGACTTTCTCACCCTGAAATCACAGTGCTTGCGAGAAGAAATCCACCACTCAGGATGCTTTCATCTGCTTCCTCGCCACTCAATAGAGCTTCTTTGTGTTCCGTTTCTCTCGATGCCCCAGCCATACGGTAATTTCCCATTTGGTGGTCCATGGGGTTCAATGACGTCCATTCAGTAAAATTTTTGGTTCTTTGTACAAATGCGGAAAAGCTGTTTGCCTGCTGCAAGAGTTGTTCGGTCTTCACTCGAAGCTGCGTTGTGCCGTAATTCGCGTGATGAGAGTTTGAGATGGCCTTAAGTGCTTCAGATTCGCGCCGCAGCGAACGGATCTCCTGTCGAGCAGCGCTCCGCGTCCTGAATGCAATTTCGGCAACCTTGTCTTCCACTTCCATTCGTTTCTGCACACACAGAAGGTAGCTGCCTTGGTATTCAAGCTGCTGAATCAGTTGTGCTGTTGCATTCATCACCGATGTAATATTTAGACTTGCCAAAGCGTTTTCTTGGCAGCGTTTTGCTCTTTTGTGGACTTAAAGGTCCTCTTTTACAACTTCTTTTGTTTTGCATTGTGTAGATGCGTCTTGAAACAATCTTTGTCAAACACTGTTGTTACTATTCAATAGAATGGATGCGGTGCATACGCCAACAGGTAGCTGACACTGTCATGATACTTAAAGCAGCAGAGTTGAGCATGTTAATGTGCTGCTTTGCTTTCTGACCTTACGAAGGCCTCAGCATCTAACGGTTACAGCATACGGTGCCTACCCAGAACGTTGCTCTTGCAAATTTCTGAGCAGCTTGGACATCGTTTCCGACTACAATGTTGTCTACAAGAGTCCCACTATCCATCGCCATGAATACTAAGCCTACTGCGTTGAAGCTTGGAAATTCTGTGGGCAGCTCCTGAATTTAGAGCCACGCGAAGGTAAGCATACAGAAAAGAATCGTATGCGTTTTACTTACTTCAGCCACATGCAAATGCAGGTTTGGTCAGTAGGCCAGCAGCGTCAAGAGCGAGTCATGAAAGCCTTTATCTAGAAAGCTCGCGAAGCAGATCGAGGGTCACACGCATTCCAGTTTACCTGAATCGTTTGGCCTGTGTGTGGCCATGGCGGTCTCAAGTCAGCAAAGATTGTCCCCTAGTAGTGGATGACAACACGCAAAGTGCAAGGACGTGACATGAGTTTGTGATGACCAAAGTAGACGTTGCGATTGAGAGCCACTAGTGGCGTTGGTCGGTGGCAACAAAAGATCACCCTGCGAATAGTTTTTCCATCCAGCAGTATCTTGAATGCCCCATCTGGTTTCACGATTAGCGTTAAAAGACGCGTACGGTCACTGAAAGGCAGCGCTAGCCGAGGAAAGAGCGTATGGGTAACGCTGAGCATTCAAAGGACAGCCCAATTGCGCAGTATAGCCTCTGCTTTAACAGTACTCTCGCGAAAGGGAGTCACTGGGTTGTACCCGACAGGGGAGATAGAAATACCTTTTTTCAGTTATTCGACATTTACTATTGACCTTAAATATGATTTCTCGACGTCTCCCACACTGGTCAGCTCCAAACCGCAAGGAGTATGGAGTTTTCTCGTCGAATTGTTGCTGTGACTGTGCATCGGATTGGAAAAATGTCATGTAACCGCCTCCACAGGTGAAATCTGGCTGCTGATGCTGCAACTCGTATTGCAGCACTAGAGGATCTTCAGAAGAAACCATCGCATATCTGGGTAACAAAGTGCTAATAGCGTGTCGAAGACCCTGAATGTCGCGCGCATATAGCATTTGGTACATGACGAGCCTCAAGCCATGAGCTCGTCTATAAGGATTTCCTACACAGAACTTAGAAGAAATTGGAAACGAGCGAGTGGGTGTCGAAAGGCACAAAAGGAGCGGCTTTCGCTGAGAAACTTTGCCCGCAGCTCACCTTGGAAGCAGTCATTAGTCCGCGGTCCCCTTCAATTACATGCGGTTGTCTTAACTCGTGATTCCATCGCCCTACAGGAGTCTCCAAAGAACACCCTTTGCTCAAGGCATGTCAGTTATGTGCACTTGATGGCTGCCCAACGTCCCCATATTAAATGAAAACTTAGACGGCAAAGAAGCCTCAGTAGGATGAATGACCGTCTACAATCCCCAACCAGAAGCCACTAAAACATGCGTTTCCTTTATTTTACACGCGTCCAACTAAAAAGCGTTCGGCCAATATTTTTTTCGGTTTGAAAGGATATTATGGTTACCAGAGTGGGTGGAGCTCTTGGAAACAATCCACGTATCGAACACGTCTTCTCTGTCGAATGTCTCAGCAAACAAAAGTCCCTCTACTACAGGGGCAATATAGGGCATTATTGGAATTTTAGAAAGCTCTGCAAAGACGAAACGGTCCATGTATTCTTTTTCTTCAGGTGATAGAAGCAGGCCATGCCCAAAATCAATTGAGCGCTGCTCAACAGTCACCGCTGCAGACATCCGAGCCAGGAGCCGCTTGGTCACGGGATCAGGCGGAGGGTCTTCATCGGCGCTTTGGTTCTGTGAGGGGTTAACGGCAAAATAATTGGCATGCGACTGAACTTGTGTTGACTGCAGTTGAACACGGGGTGCTTCTGCATCGGTGTTAACGGGCTTCACAAATCCTTCTGTCTTTGATTCAAGCCTGTGCGAATTACTTCTGACTAAGCTTCCATTTGATGGTGCTGTTGCACTGTTTCTGCCCCTCTTTGTTCGTTTTCTGGTGGCTTCTGCAGAAGACTCTGGGTTTTTTGCATGGACATTGTTGGACTCTGTACCATCTTGCTTTTCTGTGGAATCTCTGTTGCAAACTGTTCCGGTTGAAGGGCCAATTTTCCTGTCTTCGGCGATTCTTTTGAAAAATATCTGTAGAGCTTTGATTCTCCGTTGAGTCTGTGCGCTGGTCCTCCTAGCCGTGTGATCACAGGACTGTCCCACAATTACTTGCGAGTGGCCTTCGGATGTAGGCAGCACTTCTGCAAAAGCAGACGCTATCTTTTCCAACATCTTAGGACTGCCAACACAGCACAATGGAAACTGTCTTTGCCATTTGACTCGCAGCGAAGGGAAAGCAATTCGCATATTAAGCCACGGCCATATGCCTCAGCGGAACCTCTCCAGTTTCGAGGCTCACCACTGTTCTGGCAGTTTAGAACTAAGTAACTCTTGTGAGACTTATGAACCCACCTCTTCTGTCTTCTTTGTGGCTCCTTTTCTTTTTCGTTCTCTAACTGATGCGTCCTAGACATTTTAACAGTGGCATTGTCTGCGCAACTGCTTGCCTTTTCAACTCCCTCTACAGAATGATTGCTTCTTGTGAAATGGTGCTGGGGCAAGAGCATGCCTTCCACATTTGTTGAAACATCTTGAGATGCGAGAGACAGGAGAAAAGGTGGGGCACAGTTGATTGGAAGGCCTATCAAAATTAAAAGGCAGGTGCGAAGCGCCATTGGCACTCCGTTGCCGTATGGATCGATGGTAGTCCGAGACTTTCTCGCTTAAAAATGAAAAATGTGTGCGTGAGAGATACGATCACCTTTATGAAGATACGGTAAAGAGCCGTCGGCGGAACTGTCTTTCGAATATCACTCTTGAGATATTCCCTCAACTGCATGATGTAATCACTATTAAGGCTACAGATATTAGCGTAACTTTTCCCGACAGCCAATGAATGAGACATAAGTGTTACAGCAACACCGAATGTGGGGCGTGGACCTTTATTCAGTTCAAGTAACACCGGCAAACCAGCACAGCTTGATGCCTCGAGTACACTACATGCTTAACGGCACAACCTATTCAAAAAGAACATTTATGTTTGCTCGTATTCATTTTAAGTGTGCAGTTTGTATGCGTAGAGAGCTTGCGCTTTTCAAGCAGGTATCTCTGTTTCCAACGCATGCGCACACAGCCCCAAACTACAAGCTGGGTCAGGCGGAACCTCGCCAGGGAAATATCAGAAATAACTTGCCGATCATGTAAATTTCACGATCATGTCATGGCGTTGAGTTGCTAGTTTGTTACTAAGTGGAATGTGTTGAACCATATCCGGCATGGCTACTATCTAGAATCCGAATGAGCGGCTACCTTAGCCAGTCCTAAATTGAACGCTCTTACGCGCGGCTTGGTTCTAAAGCACAACAAGCCACGGGACGTTACGAAATAAAAAGTCCCAATAGTCATCCAGATAGAACTGTACTTTGTCAGCAGCGCGTGGCCCCGTGGCGTGGAGAGAGACACTGCCCACTACAAGGATTGTGACAGCGCCCGACCCAGGCCGTGCCACAGAACCTGCAGGGTCTAATAACACATACAGTGCTGCAGACGCTCCACTACATACTCTATTTATAGGTTAGACAGACTTAAGTGTATTAGGGGCACGTTCGAGAACAGCTATCGTGCATCACTGCACTATGTAGAACTCAAGCAGAAGCTTTTGTGGTTCTGCAATAACCCATCAGACAAAGCATTATAGCCATATGAGCTTCCACCAGTAAGCAGCGACTTGTTGGAATCTATGTGAGTTTTTTTACGGCTTCAAATAAAACTAGTACGAAAGCCGCGGTGCATGGAAGTGCGCTAAACTTAGCAGGGTGGATGTTCTGGCACACTGAACAATATCGGCAAATGAATATTACTGCAGAAAATATAAAACACTCGTCGCTAAATCAGCATTTGATTCTATCAAGTCAGTTCAGTATCGCGCAGTTGTTTTGCTTTGCTGCACGCGTTTAGGCTTCGGAAAGGTTGCAACCTCTAGCTCCTAACTACGTTACATAGAAAGAAAATAAAGCTTTGCAATAGCTTCTTGTTCTAGGCAGGAAACCTGCTCAAAGGATCAGCGAAACAGGCTGCCGGTGTACGAATGCGGCGAGTACCGATGCTACGGGTTCGCAGCAGTCACTGTTTTCTTTCAGTGGTGGGCTTCGTCGAAAGCTGTCGTCTCTCAGTTTCTGGAACTCGGCAATATCGTAGACCTGAACCGTTTTCCCGCTAACAAGGTACCCGGAAGTTCCTAAATTGTAACCCGTTCTGCATTTGTTGGTAAGGAGAGCAATATGGAGCTTCTACTAATATTCTGAAGGGGAAGGCTCTTCAGGGCAGCTCGCAGTGGCGGAAAATAGAACGGCCCCAAAGGACAGACACATCAGTGGCTTACTGTGTGCACTGGCTTGCTTACAACTTTATTTACTAAAACCGTGCAGAATGCCCAGGTTGCTGTCCCGTATGAGCAGGTTGTATTGACAGTGCTATCGAGAGAATTACTTGTTTCTTGCTAGACACAACACAGTACGATTCTTGTGTAAATGCTGGGGATTGCGCTGAATGGAGCCAGTTGTGCCTCAAGTTCGGCTGTTTTCTTAAGACCGATGAAAGAAATTTTGAGAAATCAGAAAGTAAGACACTTTCGGAGCACGAGTAGTCCTGCCATGGTGCCCTGATGGGCGTGTTAAGCACAGCGTAGCGCCTGCGTACGCACCGCATGCCGGCTACCCCACTCGCTATAGAAGCAACAAGGAGTTCCAGCGTGTCAACAGTCAAGTTGCTATTAGCCGACAAACATGCGGGCACTGATGGCCCACAGGGAACAGGCGGAAGCGCCCGCGGAGCTCGCAAAGCGCACGTGAGTTGAGAGGGCCATCAACGAAATGCCTCCCAAGGCAAGGGAAGCAAAGCGAATGTGTCTGCAGTAATCACGCAGCATCTTGGACACGTTATACTCGGGCTTTTAGGCAAGCGGTCGGCTTAAAAGCCAAAAGCCTCATACCTCATGAAATGGATTGCGAGGTGCATGCAAAACGTAACAGTTAGAGGAGACCCCACCAAGGCATGGGTTTTCGGTGAAAAGATTTGCTGACGAGCCTTGTTTATCGCCAAACAGTGCTGCCACAGTGTTCGTAGCTGGAACGTGTTTGCGGCCATGGCTCGTCAGCACTGAGTGAAGATGGAGATGACGTCTTATCCCGTAAAATGGAAATGAGTTTCTTCCCTGATCAGAGAGTGTGCGTTGGAGCTCTGGTCGAGTGCTTTCTACAAAAGAAAAACATGTCAGTCATGCTAAAGGTTGTGACATACAACCATACCGTAGGACTAAAAATGTGCATGCTGGTCTTGGCTATAGAGTTACGCTGCACGCATCATGCAGCTAGCGTAGGATTTTTCGAACTCCATAGCTGCCTGAATAGTTTGGCGGGCCGCGCTCCAGCGACATATCCACTACCCGAGAAAGGCTTGAGCCACTGAAGCAAGGAGTGCAGTCGCCATGGCTGCTATTTCCCTAAACCGCGTGTGGTGGCCGGCCATAAAATGTACAATTGAACGAACGAAGCACCCGACAAAAAATGGGTCTCTGTGAGACTAGCTTGTCATCGTCGGAAAGAGTGCATCGCGGCGCTCAGCACGCTGCTGTTGGTGAAACGTACTGATGGAACTGCTGAAAATGCGTGGCTGTGGGAGATCAAGGTGTAGGTCTACCATTGAAATGTTGCGGAAACTGGAGCAGGAGTACCGTGGGCATTCTGATCTTGAGGAATGAGGATGTACAAGGCCAATGGACACTTTTCTACACCTAGGCCGGGAGGTACTATGTTGATGACAGAAATCCCTGGAGGAGGAAATCTGGACGCCCCGGCAAGCAGAAAAGACGCTTACGGGTGGCGTAGTCCACGCCTCCAACAATCATTCGGCCTTGAATGCCGCTGGCGGTCAAACTATTGCTGTCATCTCCAGCTTTGTTGCTGAACATTTGCATTCATTGCCTGCAAAAGCAAAGGAGGCACTGCGAAACAACTGCAGAATTATCCTCCTTATACAACCACAGAAAAATTGTGTTCAGGAAATCAGCGGACTTCTCGCAGTGGGTGACGAACACGCGCGCTTGCAGTGGGTGGAAACAGATTCTGCACAGAGCTAGAACGTTGCTTATGCATAGCGAAACTGCTCTGTTCAGCGCCAATGCCTGCTGCGAGTAACTGCCTTAGAGAACTGCCTGTGGCCTCTGTGATGGGTTGAGGCGAAATTTCGACGAGGGTATGGCTCCATTCCAAGGAAACTTCAGCAGTATCGCAAGGAATAAAGCGGCCTCGTTACGTTATTTTGAGCGCCTAGTGGGAATCGATTTTTGGGAGCTGAGGGGGTTGGGAGAGCTGCCGTAGCTGCCCTTGTTGGGCCCTTGCCCAAAAGTCGCCAAAATGTCGTAAATGCAGCTGACTCTGAACACCACACTTTGCAACTGAAAAGCATGTCTACCATTTGAAAGAAAACCGTTGGCCTGGGAACAACACAATATGCACAATATATGGCTGCAGTGTTACTGCTCACAATGAGGCAAACGAAACCGTTCATGCTGCCGGTGGCGGTTCCTTGTGCCTTCAAACATTGTTATGACGGGGGAAGACAATTTGTTGTCAATAAGATGACACCATTGTCAAATGGTAGCTGATGGGAGATGCGGAGATGCATTGTGATATCATTTCAATCCCTGCAGGGGCTTCTGGTGACTGTTAGCTAAAATACCAAAGACATTCCAGGGCTACTTCCTGAAGTAGATTGTAAGCCTTCGGCTTCATTGTAGTGGCAGAACAAGCCCTATCTAAGCTGCGCTGATCAGATTCCACGCTTTGGTATAGCAGCTCTTGATTAATAAACGTAGCCCACCCATCCTGGCTTGCAATAACTGCAACTCTGTCGTGGAATATAGCACAAAACGTTATGTAATGCAATCATCACTGCTTTTTGACTCGACAAAGTACGGCAGTATGCCGTTTGTCAGCAGCTGTTCACGTTGCGGGCCCTCGAACGGCGGTGATACAATACCAATCCTGCAACAGGCAGAAACGTAAGTGCGCAAATGCCTCAGTGATTGAAATCATGCTTTATTGTTGCGGGCTGTTATTCTGTGCTCGTGTCTGTTGCAAGTTTGACATCGCCACCATTCAGCGGCCAGGAATGTGAGAAGCTGCTGACTCTGCATGCTGCTTTTCGTTGCTAGTTTGGTAGCATATCGCCTCCATTCAAGGGCAAAAAACGTGAACAACCGCTGACATTGCAGATTCCTTAACTCCATTGAGTGAGAGAACAGTGATCATTGACATGCTTGCATACCGACAGGTGCCGTCTTTGGAATCTTGATCTCGCTTTCCCGTTCCCGCGTTAGCAAAACCACCTACTATTTTGATTGTTAGTAGCTCAGGCGGGCCCTTCACTGTGAATGGATAACCCTACATTGAATACTGAGAGGCTTACTGTGTTAGGCAAAACTATATATGTATGTGTATAGACAAGCTGGATAAGAGCTCTGAGAAAACACCTGGGGAACGACAAAATGCTCCAGAGGGCGAGCCTGCATTTTCTCTTGCAGGGCAGCCCATTCGTTTTGGATGCACGAGGGGACACTTGAGCTACATTAAAGCCCATATCGCTAGTATTATTGTTTTGTCGATTTTGTTTCAGTAGATCGATTGCTTAGATATATGCACTGGCACAGTGACGTGATGAAATCAATCGTTGCAGTAGTGCGTTCTGCGCGGTGGTGTGCTTTCTAGAGACAATGATATTCTCGTTAAACAACGCCATAGACTGGTTAGGCCTACGTGCTCAGTTAAGATTCGCCTGCGGCCCTCCCCAGATCGCAATTTTGCAAAAGCTCGGTTCCAGCTTTACATCCAAGCAACGAGCTTCATGTATTTCCGCTCCAACATACAATGGAGCGCAGTGCCTACAAGCAGCTATCGTTGGGCTTATTCTATATTCGCAGAGCTTGTATCAATATTCGTTGTCGCTGCAGTAGGTAGGTAAGGCTTAGAAAACGATATCATGTGTGATCAAGCATGACCATACTTGTGCAAACCGAATACACAAGGTGAGAGAAGCCTGACGCTACAAAGCAGGCATTTTCATTTCTGTGAGTCGAATGTGTTTGGATGGTTTTCTTGTAAAATAGCAAACTGTGACGGTTTCCTTTCCGCTTTAAATCTACAGCAGTTGAGCCAGAAACACTGTACGAGTGAGAAGCCCTTTTAAGCTGGTGAAAAGGCCCTGGAGACTTTTTAAGGAATATATTGATAAACGTTCCTGCACCGCATCAAGCATTCAAAATGTTGCGTTGTCAGAGTCGCAGGAGTGCCCTTGAGGCTTGATACTGTAGTACCGTGTACTTACCGGTCTGTTTCATCTCTAATAATGTACTCCTTTGACATGAGACCTTCGAGGCATGCTTTAATAGCTTCCGGCTTCCATCCTTGATACTCGCCCGTGCTATCTTGAGAAAGATGGTTTCCAGAAAGCTCTTGCAAATGCTGCATCAGTTGCTGGTGAGTTATTCGACGGTGCTGTTTAAAAAGCCTAACAACTTTCGCATCAAGTCTAGCTCGCTCTTCTGCATCCAGAGACCCTCTGACTTTTCCTGAAGATCGTTTCTGACTGTGCGTAGTCATTGTGCATCCAGCCTGCACGAATGAGAAAGTAGCGTAAAGTGACTTGCAGCCTACTGCGGCATATCGCTTCTCTTGGAGGGCTTTTGGGTTCGTCAGCAATCACTGTGACAATCACTGTGACACGTGGTTTAGATTTACCGCGAGAGGATTGACTCTGCAAGGAAGGCGCCTGATATCAACTTCAGGATTGAAACAGAACTGTACGGATGAGGAGCTTTCTGAGGACCTGCGCTATGAAGAAACAAGAGTCACGCTCCAGCGCTGTGGCTATATTTTCAGCTGGGCGCTCGAGAAAAGCGTGAAAACTACCACAATTTGTGTGAAATTGTTTTACTGTTTCCGAAGACCAGAGAGGCAGGATGGAAACAGCTCTGCATTTTGCCATACCAAGAGATTCTGCGGCTCTACTTGGAGACTTTCCATCACAGAAAAAGCTTCTTCTACAGAAATTCCCGTTAAGTGGGCAACTGCCTGGACTGATAAAGACGAAGTTCTGCGAAGCCACAACCGGTGAAAAATAACAGACTAAAACGTACGCTAGATTTTTGCTATTACCACAACTATTGCTGTTTGTTTCACTTCCCGCAGACCACGTTATTTCTGTAATCGCAATTATTTCGATAATCGCAATGCTGGCAAATTAGACTCTTTTCAACCGGGTGGAGAAGCTGACTGCTATAGCATACTCATTAAAGAGCAGAAGCACAAGCGCTGTAACCAGGCACACGCGAAAAACAGCACTCGTTGGTATTGTACAAGCACCCTTCTGATGGATGCCTTCGTGCTGATTCTGCTGTTGGACTATGAGAGCCATCTCTGCGTGTCCCGCCCTCCAGAGCCATGAAAGCTTTCGTTCTGGGAAGTGAGCTTTGTACATTCGGCTAAAGGCCTGAATAGACGCAAAACGCAATGGCAGCAGAAGCAGCGGAACGCACAACTAAACTAATTATTGGCCAACAGCAGAGTGCAGTTACCTGAGATTCAGTAGCAGGGCCAACAGCAAAGAGTACACATCATTTGAATTGGGTCCAAAAACAAATTTTCCCCAATAACTTCCATAAACAAAAATGTACAGCTAACAAAAGAAATATTGTACATCCCTATCTTCAGTGATGTGCAGAGGTGAAACCGACTTCCAAGTGATTTTGCAGCTCTCTTGGGATATTCAAACCATCAATGCTTATTAAGCTTTTTCTGAGTTCGCTCGGAAACGTGTCTGGTCCAGATGGCTGGGGCGGAAGCCGTCTTGTTTCAATTGTTGCTGAAGGCAGGTGAATCTCCCAGGCGGTCTTTGTAAGAACCAGGGCTTCAAAGCTGCTGCACTTTACGTTGTCTGATCCGCTTGAAGTAGGGAGATCAGAAGTGTCCCCTGGATCAGCCGGAAACAACGTTTGAGGGGATAACGGAGACGAGACAGTTCGTCCTTCTGCACTTTGGTCGTTGGCCCTCTCTTCAGCAGATACGCTGGTAGATTCTTCATAGGGAGGATTCGCTGATGATCTGGCAATTGTAGCGGCGTTTGTCTGCTGCATTCGCTTTGTGTACAAGAGCAATGTCTCTCTTGCTGCAGCAATGTCCGCTATAACCTGGCTGACCCGCCACTGTTCTTCTGGAGGAACTGGACAGCGAGCCTCAAAAGCATGTTGTACTGCCTTCCAAACTCTCATTTCTAGACCACACACTTGCGCTGCTGCTCCAGAAAAAATGTCTACACTACTCGTAAACCCTTTGCTATCTGTAAAATCAATGTTTTCAAAGAAGGCCCTGTACGTATACTGGGTGTTTCCAGCATCACGCGCACGAGCAAGTCTTAGGTGAATGGGACTTTTGTTGGTAAGGTTGGCAAGCTTTCCCCAATCTGACGAAATTTGTTTTCCGCTAAGCAGGCCCCAAGTTGCCCACTCTGGTAACAGCCTGCAGGCTAACAGTCTTGCATATGCGGAGAGAAAACGTTCAGGAAAGTGAAGCCTTGAGCAGAGCCGACCTATGTTCTCCTGAACGCAGAAGGAACAAGCTGGCATTCCAGGCGCACAGCTGAAGCAGGGCAGCAGCACTAAAAGTGCTACACTAGGCACGCTCAGCAGCGGGTTTGTTTCAAGCATACTTCCCAGTCTTTAGTATCCGTGATTTCGTGTCCCTCTTGAGCGGACTTTGCTGCTGCACGTCTAATCTGTGAGTCCATATAAGTAGCCACCGCCTCTTCTACAGTGAGGATTTCCCCTGATGCACCCACAGTGCACGCTAGGCACTTTGTTACTTCGGGATCAGAGACAACCCGGTCGAAAGCCTGCGTGCGCACCTCAAACATGAAAGGGAGAAGCCTATCACTTCAGCAAATTCGAATTCCCGCTGAGCGCTTTTTGGTTGTAGCAATGCCGTAGTCTATTACAATAGTGAACAGGGGAAAACGATCAAAACATGAGTCTTTCAAGCCAAAGGTTAAGTAACAACAGCAAGCAATTGGAATGCGAATACCTGATTTCGGGCTTCAACAGCAGCTGATGAATTGCTGCAAAATACTGCCAGCTGCTTTTCTGACCTCTTGAGGTATTGCAGCAACAACAGCACAAACATCTCCCCCCTAAGGGGACAAAAATCGCAGTGTGTGACTGTTTCTGTTGTATCCGCTTTGGTTGGTTCGGCTGCTTTTTCTGATATTTCTTCCTCTCCTAACGGCGTAACTTTGTGTTTTATTGAGCAGGCAATCTTGGGACTTTCAGCTGCTGCTGAAGTCCCACTGCCATCCCTTTGTGTCTGTTCTTCACGACTGCTTGCATCTGTAACCAAAACGTCTGCAGTACTTGCATTAATTGTCCCTCCCCTAATAACTCGCTGCCCCTCACGGCAAGCTGAGCATATGAGGTCCCACTGGGTGGATGCGCATCTGACCACACAGTCGCCGCAAGAAAATAGCGCACGGGTGGATTCAAAAAAAGCGTCGGGAGTCCTACCAGCAAACTGCTTTAGAATTTTTACACATCATCAGGAAATAGTGCAACTGTGATTTAAGGAATGGCGTTTGCAGAGCTGCAAGCCACTCTCAGTTTTCGTACTGAATGGAATCGGTGAGTGAGGAAGACCAGTAAAAACGCAGCTGATGAGCAATGCTGTCTAGGCACTCTGGCCACTCCTTGGCCCAGTGCAAGAGCAGCACCACAGCTGCAGCGTACTTCACAGGAAAAAGCTAAACAAAAACTGCTAAGAAAAGCAAGCAAAGGCGCAAAAACATTTACATTTGGAAAGCGCATAGTCAGGCAAGCTCACCGCCTTGAACATGATCTGCAAAGGCAAACAATTTATAGCTGGTGATTGCTCACCACTCCAGTCATCTTCTCTTAAAAGTTGGCGGAGTGTGGGAGACAACAGCAAAACTTTGTCGAAGTTTTTTCTGAGTAAAACTTGTTGAGCCACCTGCACTGCAGTATCAGCTGAAAGCGGGGTAGAGCAGGCATCACAAAGTAAATTTTACTTTTTTCCTCGGTTCATGTTACTACTTGTCTTAAGTAAGTGTTGTGTCGGTGCCATCAGAGCTCCCCAGCAGAGCTTTTACCATTTGGTAGCGTCGAACGCATTTCACGATGTTTCAAAGGGTGCAGAGCATCAGCACGTGCCTACTGGGGAGCCGAAACACGTCTCGTTTAGAGACCTCTCTGCCGAAATAAGTGCTTCCACAGAGCGAAGAAACACCCGAAGCTCCACACCTTCCGCCATCATCTCAGAAGCTGCGTCTGCATGTGCTGTAGCAACCCCTTCCAGCAACCTCCTAGAGAGTAAAACATGCAAATCAAGCGAGCCTGCTCAACATTGTTTTATGCATAACTCTCCATTAGAAGTTATTAATGTATCTTCAAAAGGCCTTCCGTATATGCTTTTACGGTCTGGTACGAGCATCAAGGTCAAGTACTTTTAGAAGCGTTATGGAAACAGAATCGGCAGCTCCAAAAGTCGTTTTCCTTCCACACTGCAGAAGAAAATTAAGGTAGGATTCTCTGAGCTCAAAGCCCGTAAGGGCTTTCCTATGATTCTTCGTGTAGGCATATTTCGCTGTTTTGCTTGCAAACATACCTCCTGTGTTGAAACCAAATTTTTGAGCACCCTCCCCAGGGTCCGCCACCGGCGCCAGTCCAGATAACGTACAACAATCGGCTATTCCTAAAAAGCGGCTGCAGAGCATTCCTGCAGGAAGCTGCTGTGACTGTTGCCACTGCGGAGTTATCCGTTAAGTCTTCCTGTTGAAATGAATTCCCGGCAGTTTGGGCTGGTGGAGGGGAATTGACGCAAGCTCCTGAAGCTACTGCCGCTTTCTTCCGGCGCTGCAATTGTACGTGTTGAGGATCATCAATTCTTCTTAAAATAATTAAGGCCTCACGAATCCACTGAAGGGGAGCTGCTGGCACTGGTGGCTGGCCCGCTCTCGGTTGACGTCTTGAAGGCGATAGTGCTGGTCTTGCTTCCTCCGCATGCGCCCCTTTTGATTCAGTAGATTTCTTTGCATATGCGGGTAAAGCTCTTTCCCCTAGGGGCAGCATGTTCGGTTCAACTGGAGCAGCTGCTTGAAGCAGCCTATGTTGAAGTATCTTTGTTGATCCCTCCTCGGCTTTTGGCGGCAAAGTTGTTTCACGAGTAACCATTGGCTGTAGCTTTTGAGCAAAAGAAGGAGCTGGCATGCCATACACCTCCTCAGCAAGCAGAGACACCAGTTGTGCATCATGATCTTCATCTAGCTGCGGATCCTTTTGCAATCCCTTGCGCTCCAGTCTCCAGTGCTTGCGCATTGGTCCATCGGTTGCCTCATGCTCATTTGTAGGACTATTATCCTCTCTATTTAACGCTATACAGGAAAGCTCGACTTGACGTGTGGTTTGATGCTCCGACTGCTGTTGATTTTGGCATCCTTGCAACAGCTTATCGGTGCTTTCTTTGAAAAGCAGGCCTTGGTTCCCCGAAATCCGGCACCGCTCGACAGATCCTGATAGACTTTGTTTCTGTGGATTGTTTGCTGCACACGTGGCAACTGCTGCATCGATAATCGTCCTAGAGCACTTTCGCCTTATCTTGTCTATTTCCTTCCATACTTGAGACCTCAACGCATCTATAAGTCCGCTTAGTGCCTAACGCCAAGAACACAAGTCAAACACTACTGGCGAGCCTTCATTATAATTGCTTAACTGGCAACCATTGATACACTGTTCAGCTTTCGTTGATGACAGCGCTTCATGCGGGCCCAGAAAAATTTATCTCAATCAGATATGCGATCAACGAAGTGCTTTCTATCTGTGCATTCAAATGTGCAGCACTCGTTTTTACTGACAAATCTTCCAAAGATGACAACGGCAGCCTCGTCAATGGTGGAAACTTGGAACAGAATCCTGGTCGCTGCGTGAGCTGTAGCTTCACGTGCTGTTGAGGTGTTTATCCCGGCTGCCTCTGCCGCCAACAGTGCGTCTTCTGAGAACTCTGGTGCTTGTGTCCTTAACCCTGCAGGGGTAGTGAAACAATTAGGCTGCTGATGAGTTAAAGCGTCTGAACCCCTGGCGTAGAGATACTTGAAAAGCAGCAGCGCAAGAGTATACGATTTCCAGGCCTTCACGCAATCAACCACAAAATCTTCGGCTTTTTGACCCTCTTCGTACGATGGCGCTTGCTTGATGGCGTGAAGCCGGTATCGAAGGCGTTCGACAACAGCGCAACGAATCAGCAAGCAACAAAAAAAAAGAAAATGCCACCGTGCCACTGTCGGTGACTGCAGCACTGCATGCAAACCTGAAACGCAGAATCACAATCAAGAAGTCGCCACCCTGCACTCATCTATTGCAGCTTTTACTAACGCATGTACTCTATCACTGAGCACGGTAGGCCATGCACGAGCAAAAAACAGCAATTAATTACACACCAGAAGCTGTATGAGACAGTGCTGCCACATGCTTGTGTGAGAGGTACGCAGTCCCACTGAAAACGCGCAAGGATGAGGTGCCTCCATACGGATCTCTGTGACAAACGCTTGGCTCCTCAGAGGCTTGTGGTAGACCTATTGATCCTGGAGTGCAGATCTCATGAGCAATTGCTTTTTCTAATTGGTGCTGGGAAAAAATGTCGAAAAATGGCTCAAGAAGCTCAGAGCGAGCCTTATATAAAAGTAAAAGCAGTTGCCTCTTTTTCTCCTCCTCTCCAGCCCACAACTTCTTATAGACTGGAAGGCGATTGCACTCTAACGCAGAAAATTGAGCTCCTTCGGAGCTCTCGCAGGTACCGAGACGGGCGCAGGCTGATTCTTGAGGGCCCGCTTGACCTGCTAACATAATTGATCCTCGTGTGCACCCAGACGAACCTCGTGCGCCTCCAGGCTTTCGCCTTTGCCTCCTCGAGACCCTTGTTGACCTACATTCCTCGCGCGCACCGGCAGAAGATTCAGGTCTCCACTGTTCTGGCAAAGGGTGTCCTTCTGAACAAGGCTCATTGGCCAGTGCGTGGCTTGGATTCCCAGGATCATCTGACGAAGCTGCAGGCGACTGGCGCTTGCTTAGCTGCAGGAGACGACGAGTGGAACGCCGCTGCGTCCGCTGATCCTGAGGCAGCACTTCAGTCTGTCCTAGCTGCCGAAGGTGATCCCTCTCTGATGCTGCGAGACGCCGAGTGCGGACGCCTGGTGATGGAGGTTGTGGCGCTGCTTGTGAGTCAAGGGCCTGTCGGTCTACAGTGGGCATCGTTTCTCTCGGTGACAAACCACCAGACCTTCGTCTTTGTCGCTTCGCTGCACGACTTGACGCGCCAAACCCCTGATTAGAAGCTGGCGATGACTCTGCCATGGTTTCTTCCAGTGGGTTTCAGTTTCTGTTCATTAGTCTATTGAGGCCTGTGAAACGAAGCGCTGTGCATGGAATACAAGCCAATGGCCTCCCTTCCACTAGAAAAGCCGTAGCAGAAGTTCTTAAGTAGCTGGCCGCCTGTACCGAGTACGACGAAGGATGAGTGAACCTGCGACTAGCTAGGGGTACATGCTGCTCGAAACTGCAGCCATTCAGGCTGCGCTCCAGTTCAGAAATAGTGCAGCTTCAAAAGTGGCGTTCCCCTAAAATTGCCTGCTTTTGTAGACTAAGCAAATATCGGTAAGTGTGGCTGTAGGCAAATATGATCAAAGCACTTCCCAGTACAGCAGCTGTTCTAGAGCCAAAGTAACCATAGTCTTGTTGCTGGTCAAGGGTTCACCAAACCGCATGTAGCTCCTTTTCAGGCACAATACAATGGCTTTGTGAAATAGTGTTTAGATTGATTTCGAATACTGCCTTGAGTCCGAGCATGCTTCAAAAGGGAATGCTGCATTAGCACTGCCACGGGTCACTTGCGTCATGTGCAGCTAGAGTACATTGAAGGTGTGTAATTAGGTTTTTCAGCTCATTTCAAGCATTCCTCTCCTAGAAAACTCACACATAGTAGGACACGAAGAGGCCGCACAGCGGCGTTGGCGGTAAGTTCCTTGGCCCAGCCAAAATGCATGCGCCGATAGCGCTGTGTCATGACTACGAAGCGAACATAGCTGAGTTATGAAATTCCTGTCCCTGCAGGGAAGCCATAATAAATGCAGTTACTTGCTACTTCCTGAAATAAGAAGTTTAGGCTCCTTAAGCAATTTTTTTTTGAGGTGTGGGCACTACGAGGTGCCGCCTTCCGGCGAAACGTAACATGAGCCGGACGAGCGCAGGCTTTGGAGAGCCTCTAGGCTTTGAACTTACTCACTGGTGCCTATTACTTCGAATTATGGGTAACGCAATAACTTTGCATATTACGGAATGCGGCGCAGGGCCACTTTCGTGGTGTCACAGGACAGCCGTCGGGGGAAACTGTCCCTCGAGAGTAGTTCTGCCCCCAGGGGGCAGTTCTATTTCGACTTTTAGTCATTTTCTGCGTCGTTTCATGCAACAATAACTAATAGTTCACAAACTGGCCCAAGGAACGCTCACTTTGACGTTTAAGAGGAGTCATTTGAGGACATCAACCCGCATGCCTACGCGTCATGCGACGACCTGCCTCGCCAGTAGATGGCGATCCCGCTGGTGTGTTTGATTATTTACTCTGTGGAGATATTAAGATTTGCTTGAAAAACTATGCGGACGTTCTCCTTCTAAGATGCACGGCGAACGGGCGGCCTCCATGGCGGTTTTGTAGGATTGGGTGAATTCAAGCTGTAGCTGAGGAAGTTGCGTAGCTTCTCTTAGTGTCGGTCGTTTCAAGCTCAGCACCTGAGCCCACGAAGCGACTGTTTAATTAGGTTCGTCCGAAACGCCAAAAACCACGAGAGCGGTTCAGGCCATAATTTAGGAACTAGCCACGTGGTAGGGAGCTCTCAAAGAAGACTTCGTCCATTCGTAACATCAGTTTTGCTTTTCATATAAGCTCTACGAGGTTGCTGTAAATAATTAATGCACGGCATCTGCCGGTATGTGTACGGGTGAGCACTTCGAACTGGGTGCTCGGCGATGTAGTATTGACTATCCTATTACGAATGAGGGCACTCGGGAGAGGCATGCTTGATTGTCGAGTAATGCGGCTTCTGTGTCGTGGAGGAAACCAGAAGGAACTGAGCGAAGGAGGCAGCCGCAGTGCACGTTTGAAGTGCCAGGGCAGTTGGTGTTTATTTATTGCTAAATGAATTCCACGTACAGTTTCGCAAAAGCAATTCAACAGCTGCACTCTCCTAATTGCGAAATCATACCAAATTCCGGTGTTGCAGTTTCAAAGTGACGTTGGCCTATTTTAGCCTCATCAAGACACTGAGGATGGCCGGCAGTGTTCGGAGGTTGTGCGAATGCTTCACGTGCAAATGCGACTGTTTAATCAAGCTGACGGGAAACAACGTGTAGCGATGAATAGCGAAATCACTTTCAACATTGGTAATTCAGACTTCCTAGCATTACACTGGCCATATTTTTTGCAGCATCCGAAATGATGTGGGCTCAGTACTTTGAAGCTCCACTTTGGAGACGAGAAAGGTCCATTTCGCCTTCATCATACTGTAGTTTTAGCCCTATGCCGCAGAAAAAGAGGGAGTAGTGAGTCTGGACTACTGCTGTACTGCTGTTTGCGCAGGGGGGGGTGCCATTTTGCTTTGCTAGGTTATTTCAAATGGTTTTTGCTTGGCTGACAGAATAAAACTACAAAAGCCGCTCAGTAAAAGGAACTCTGGCTGGGCCTTTAGATGAGCGCCTTCCAAGGTATAATAGTGGACAACTTGCGGTGCGCAAGCATGAGAAATACAAATTTGACACAAGGGATATACAGCTTGATATACTTCAGTGTCAGACATTTCTCACCACCCGTGACCGCTGCGATTGGCCAGCACATGGTGACTTAATTGGCATGCGTGTTTCTACTGAACATATTCAGTTGCATGCCTGTGCTTTTGGCATGTGGCGTGTACTCTTTGGCCCATTCAATTAATCTAATTTTTCGCAGCTCATGGCTTTGTCGGTAGATATGCCATCGCACGTCTGCAGAACCCTCACTGCAACGTGACAAGAACCATGCAGATTAGCTATTCGCTCGTAAAGGGCTACTTCGATGCTACTAAGCTGCAGTCGTACTTTGCATATACGTACCATTTCTGAACAGTTTCGTAGCCATGGAAGCAGGTAATTGAGAATCAGTCAAACTGCTAGGCAAACCCCCAATTACGGTTTTCTTTCCGATTTGGAACTTTCGAGCGCACTATACGTGTCCCGCATGCTGCTGCTGAAATGTGTCAGCATATGAGCACCTTGTTGTGTTTTGTTTCTAGTGATCGACGTGAGGCATAACTGCCTGCACTAACAGCGGCTTCGTTTCAAAAGCAGCTGAGCTTTTAGTCCTGAAGCGCAAGAAGTGCAGCTACGCCAGCCTTTATTGGCACGTCAGGGGGATCAATACACGGAAGCTCAATACTGGTGATGTAGTTGGTCGAATGCCCGGTTGTCGAGAGAGTTCCCTTTCTACTCGGCACCTTGTACAAAGGGCACATGTATATGGATGTAGATTCCTGCACGCGATCTTCTTGAGGAAGGAACCAAAGCACTGGAAGCTCTTCAAAGAGGATTTTTGGACGCGAAGAAACCTGGACAGAAACATATAAAAACGCTTCGCACTTCTTGATGCAAAAGCCAAGGTCGGTAATGAAGCGTTGCATCAACTGCCCGGAAAAAAAGGTTTCCTCTGCGAGCACCCAAATAAAAACGGGTATGGCTTGGACGGGACACGAAGATGTGAAAGCAAATGAAATGCTGCCTACCAACGTGTTCATGTCAGAGTCCCAACGGCAGCCCTCCAAAAAAATACCTTGGACAAAGCAGCCATCCTCTGGAGCCTGCTTGATTGATGAGTCATCTTTGTCTTTTAAAATAGTAAATGCAAAAGAAAGCCTATCAACAGCAACGCGGTACTTTCGTGCATAGTTTTGGAGCACGCCTGTCAAGAATGCCTGCGTGCAATGAAGGACGCTCATGAAAATCCACTTTTTCGCGTTATTCATCTCAAGGTATGGCGCCTTACCATATAAGAGCCTTTGCTGACCAGATAAAGGGCAGCAAGTTTTCTTACCTGGGGAAAGAAAAGACCGGCCATCCAAAAGCACTTAGGCGGTCCTTGGTCAATCCAAGACCGGAGAAAAGAAAGTCTTGCTGTTAAATCCTTTAGCCAGGAGCCCAGAGGCTTCATCGAAACAAAGCCTCTATCAGACCACACTTTGGGGACCTGCGCAGTCACCACGAAGGGCACTGGTCCAAATTTTTCCACTCAGCTTTCGTTCAGTACATACTAACTAGAGTTTGGCCTATGCTGCAGTATTTGGCGTGCTTTTCTGGCTGATGCGTGCTGCTGGATACCACCAGAACTCTTTTGCATGAAGAGTCTTTTGTACCTACCTGATTGTCAAAGAGAGCTGCAGCAATCTTTTCTAGTTCCTCCGTCATCACTATTTGCCCGCGAATCGCCAAACGAAGATCCTTTATTGTCTTATTGATGATTGCGAGCAAGCCATTATATCTGGGTGTCACATAGATCACGACTGCAATTTAGAATTATGCCACTAGGAAAGGCCCTGAAGATGGCTTTTCAGCCTTCATCAGTGCCCCACTTCTGTGGCCCTCTAAGATTCATTCCAATAAGCTCAATAATCGCGAAAATAACAGCTTTTTCTCTGGGCCATACGTTATGCTGACAATGTGTACTGGCCTCACTGACCTGATCGACTCTTGCACAACAACTGTGTTCATGGATTCATCGTAACGAGTAGGATATTTTTGCTGAATAAATTCTACGTCGAACAGATCTGGTATTATACTTTGTACGTAGCTAGCAACGTCAGATACTGCCGACTCGCGAGATGTTGATCCCGCCGAACTGCTTCTTGGTGCCATCGATAGTATGCCATCAAGTAACTCCTAAGCATATTGACCGTGAGGATCACCAGCGGCACAAAAGGCAACAGGCTCAGAACTGGAAGGCTTTGGTTCGTAATAGAACCATTCCCTTTATCAACAGCAGGGCACAGTTTCTTGCAGCTCTCCAACTGCCAGCTCTGCGGCTTACCTTGCCTTCCATCTGGGCGCAGTTAATGTTTGCATTTTCGTGGAGGCCAAAAACCTCCGGTTGGTCAATTGAAGGCAATGACTGAATATACTTTTGAAAGCCTTCAAGATCTCCTTCCTCTGGGCAGTAGTAGATACCCGACTTTGAAAATTTATAAGAAGCTCCCTATGGAGGCAAGCAAACTAAGAGAATGGCAAATGGCTTGGGACAAGTCCTGAGACGCGTCAGGTACCCTGCACCAGGGAGTTTTAGCTTTGTAAAGTAAAACCAAGCATCACCTCGATAATAAGCCTTTCGTTCACGTAAGTATCGGCAATCACGTCAATGAGCCTCTTGTCGTTGGCATCAGTGACACGGCCTCCGTAATTTATTTGGGCACCCAGGAAACGCAAAACCTACAGGTCAAAAGCCACGAATGAATGGTTTCGTTTTGCTGGCAATCTCATGGATACAATAGAGCTTCTAGAATGAGCTTGGGCTTTAGTTGTGAAACACGATTTTGCTGAGCGCTTGCGCCACACCTTGAAGGGAATCTTCTCGCTGGCATCCATGAATATTCTAAGCTGCCTCTGGCATACAACCAGATCATCTTGAGTGAATTCGTAGTAAATGTTCCATCCTATTGGCCCAAAGCGCCGGCGTTCCTATGGGTCAAAAAGTTCATTACTTTTATTATTTCGCAAATACATAAGGCGTGAGAATGCCCTTGAGGGGCAAATATCAGGTCCTCATGACAACACACAAGGTAATATATGCAATACAGCTTCAAAGCAAGCAAGGAAAGCCCGATCGCCGACAGCCTGCACTCACCGTCACTATGGCATGAAAGAAGCAAAGCGCAAAATACAGCCTTTTGAACTGCGTAGGCTGTTGCGTAGCATTGAGCTGCCGGTTGTCAATTCCAGCGTAGAGACGCTGCAAGTTTGCCTTCAGACCCTTTGGTGGCTCATTTGTCATTTTTACACCAACTTGAAGGACGGATACAGGAAAGGATGAGGATGGCATGGATGTCAACCAGAGTCTGAAGTAATGCACGGAAACATAAGTGCCCTTTAAAACTCCTAAGCATCTGCAGGCCAACTTAAACCAAAAAAGGAAGGCGATTTGAAGTCAAAACTGCCAGCTTTGGTGACACAGGGAACCTTTATTCAATTCTTGCTGTGGCACGGCTTACCTGAAATCACGATGAATTTCCTCAGGGTTCCACTGCTCGCAAATCCTCTCAAGCTCGCTCATCCAGGAAGCAGCAAGATGACAATTTTGAAGAAGTACCCACCCACCCCTGTTACATCCTTCCTCAATAAGCTTTGCAGCTTTTGGGCCCTGGCCTTGTCCTGTTTGAGCACATTAGTGTTGAAGCTACCAGAAGGTCACGGCAACTGCTACAACGTTTGGGCTAACCGCTTCTTACGGAGCCGACATGCATGGGGCCTTTTGCGAACAGCTTGTGCAGACGTCTTACCCAATGATATTGATTCAAATCGCCTGCTCATCTTCATATCTTTTGCAAAACTAAGAAGCTCAGATATTGGGTCGGAGCCTTGCGACAAAATGAAGATCAACGGCGTCTGGGATGTGGAGTCTTTATAACACTGAGCTAGGTCAAACGGGGGGGGCTCCAAAAAGCGGGCTCCGAGTTCCGACTCAATATAGCTGCTTGCAGCAGCGGTCAAAGAATCCATGCGAAGAATCCGGAGGATGCACATTTTCTTGAAAATGCAACAGTAATCGGACACAGTTGCGCAGCTTAGCCTAAAATAGCCATTACTACAAAGAAATTTGCTTGAGCCATGAGTTGAACGTTCCTATGCAGGAATCAGCCTTCAGATTCCTACCTGAATGGAATTCAGACATTTCCAACGGCCAGGCAGTGGCTCTTGATCTGCTCGAAGAGAGTCAGAAATTCTTCGAAACCCTTCCTCCTCCTCCTGAAATGTGCTAGCCAGCCCCTCAAACGCGCGCAGATGAGAAAGCTCGCTCAGTGCTTGCCACTGCTTCTCTGTAAGCCACGAAGTAGGATTTGGCGTGTTGCTTGATGCTGCTACAGTTCCCGTCAGTAGAAAGCGCAGCTCTGCAGGATCTACTGGAGTTTTAGCTTGCACCTGCTCAGGCAAAGACTTTCTGGGCTAATCAGGCATGCTCTTGACAGGACAAGCTACTGGAGCAAACCCTCTTTTACTCATCCGTAGTTTTGCAGCTTGATAGTGCACAGCTTTCCAAATATACATCGGGTATGCTAAGCTTTCCAGACGTAGAAAAACTCACTCGCAAGCTGAGAGCAAAGGCAAACAAGAGCTTATGCCGGACGAAAAGTGACCTAGACACATTTTGGTACACCAAGTACGAAAGATGGTCCACGAGCAACTGCGTGCGCTGCTCGACATTTGGAGTTGGTGCGGCCTTCAAAAACGCACGGACACAAATCTTGTGCTCTTGATTTTTAATGAAAGAACTTGTTAAAGCAACTGGCCAGGAGGGTAGCACCGCATGGCAACGAACAGTGCTCGAGTGGCGTTCTAAAGCAACTCACTCTGCTAAACTTCCCAAGGAGCAAAAGTGTGTTCTACGAGTTGTGTTTAACACCAAATAAAATTTTCAAGCCTCGAGGTATTTAAAAAAAACTAACCTCGCTTATACCAAGGGAAATCAAGTTCTGGAACCACTGCTGGGAGTATTGATACATTGGCTCGATGCCTGCTAGTTCAACGAGGCAGAAAAAGAGCTGGCTACAGCGCGCCGCAACTTTCCTGTAGCACTGCCTAAGTGGAAACAGAAGGAAGCGAGGAAATGGAAAGCGCTCAGCTTTGTCTCCTGGGAAGGGCACTTGAGCACAAGAGCTCAAATCTGAAAGGCGTACCTTGCTTCGTCAATCTCGCGCTCAGTCACTTCCGCTTCTTGAACTTTCTCTTGGATCTCTTCAGAAGTCTGCTTCGATGCAGCTAAAGTATTGAGCAAAACTTCATCATCCAAGATGTTTCCTTGAGACTGCGACATAACCTGAAGGATTTTGTCTTGAAGGTCTTTGAGTTCTCGGCGCATGTCAGCGTTGCTTTGTGCCAAAGCAGCTTTCCTTTCTTCTAGCTGGGGTGCTTCCTTGGTCACAACAAGGCCTAGCATTTGGTCCTCTAGCCCTTAATAAAAAAAATGCATCCGTTGTTGCAAATGCTCGCTTGGTATTTCCAGAGGCTTCGGGAGCTGACTAAGGTGACAAGGGATTTTTCTGAGTGTGTTGGCACTTAGTGAGGGCTGAAGAATAGTCTCAAACCAACCTTCTGGAGTGATTGCGAAATTAATGACCGTTGTCTTGACGAAAGTGTCCACAGAAAACTTTGGATTGGGGAGCTTTGTCGTCATGAAAAGTTTAAAGGAGGGTCCCCAAGGAATTGGTTTTTCGCCAAGCCGGATGCAGTAGCCTTCAACGCAGAGCACCCATTAATGTCTTATATGCAATGGAGTTGCATGCCACACCGTAGTCTTTCGTTTGTGGCACGCGAGCGTTAGTACCACCCTGAATTTTACCTGAGCCACTCTTCGTCTTCTGCTGGAGAAGGACCGGGTCGAGGGCTGGATCCAAAGTTTCTGAAACATTTTCTATAAGAACCCACTTTCCAAGCTGGATAGATAGCTCAAGTTCCCTCATAAATGCCGCATCAGACAATTTAAAAACTTCGAAGCCAATTTCAGTAGCCCTAGCACTTCTCTTGATGAAACGGTTTGCCTGGCTCTGGTACGAACGAACAAGCACAGCTGCACTTATTCTATAGTGGGTTTACACGAGTATGTGCAGCATTTGTACACTCAGAACATTACTGCTTATTCACTGATACTCTACATTTTTTGCGGACTGTTTCTGCCCACTTGAGGGTCAATCATTAGGGGCCACCTTCTGGCACGATCCATAATGATACCATTTTGGATAGACAGTTCATCATTCGGCAAGCCCCAAGCAATCCATTGCCTAATAGTCACGGGGTCACCTGTACAGCACACATCAAAGAGAGACACGTTTTTGCAACAGGATGAAACGCAGGTGGCAGCCCTAATAAATCTACAAAGTGACATACCAAGAAATTGCTTGAGGCCGCATGATGCCTGGAAGGGTAGTTGGTGCAGACGCAATAGCTCCGACCATTGCGCTTTTAGCTCTTCACGAAAAGTAACTGTGAATGGCCCGGCGTAAGTTAGCATTCCAGCATTGATTAGGGCGTGGCCTAAGCGGAGAAACCAGAAGTAGACTTGATGTGCTTGCGTGTCCTCCTGCTGCTTATGTCGATGCCACATCTCGCTCTATTCAAAAACCGAACCTGAGATGTAGCTGTAAAGTTCCTTTGAAAGGCGAGCCTGCTCTCCCCAGCGTTGTCTTTCATCTTCGAGGCCGAGTAAGAGAGGTTCGGCCCTCTGTATTTTCTTCTGACAGCTCTGAATCTCTTTGGTAAGTTGCTCCTGTATTACCACAGCGAAAGCAAGTGTTTGTTAAGCCCTGCAAAGGAATCACTTCAAGACTTGAGATCCACCGTGGCTGCGTGATTCCTTGTCTCTGCGTGTAGCGAGATTTCAGTGCTTCATTAAGCTGAAAGCCATCTTTTGGCGGCCTTTTTACATCACCTTTTTCTCAACAGCAAGAGCGAAGTCGCTTGCAAGGCGTTCAATTTTATCCTCTACTTCCTTAAGCCTAGCCTTCGTTCTCTCCAAATTCTCTGTAGTGGCGAGCAGCTCAGATTCGGCCTGCCGCAACTTGACTCGCTTTGGCTCCACAATCTTTGCGACATTGTAGTACTTGAACATCGCGCGCACCCACATGCAAATAGCCTCGCATGCAACAGATGCTTTGCGGATAGCTGCTGGGTCAAAGTCGGTCCTCTCGATGTAGGGGCTGATTGTCGAAATGATAGATTCCGGGATATTATCCTGCTCGCCAGGGGCCGAAGACGCATGAGAGAGTAAATGTTTAGCATCACACTGAGACGAAATGATGGTACGTGTTGGGCTACAGATGGTTGTAATTTTCAAGCAGCATCCACAGAAAGAGTGTTGCATTCGGTTTAACTGACCTTGTCATACTTTAGGAGGTCTTCAAGAAGCTTCTTTGGGTCCCTCAAAAGCCTATGTTGAGCAGATTCCCAGTAATCCTCAATTTTTACTCCGGGTCTCGAAGGATCAGGTTTTTTCACGGGAGGAACCTGGAATTTCGCACAGGGGTCAAAATTAGAAGAAAATCATGAACGGGCGTTCCGTGCCAGATTCATTCAATAAAGGTGGTACTACTTTATTTGCTTACTCCAAACATGATGCATACAGCCTCCATCGTGAGAATGACACCTGATGGCGGTTTTGTCAGTGCCTTCACCTCCCGTATATGGTCTGACTTTAACTTTTTAACGCATTCCACAGCTTCTTCGAGTGCTGGAAGTGCTTCGTCTAGATCACGCTGGGCATCATCTTTAAGAGCTTGAGTTTCACTTGCTTTTTTTGAAGCAGCTGCTTCATCATGTGCAACGATTTTTTTTGTCTCATCCGCAATCGCATGATCTTTTTGAATTTGAATCATTGTCCTTTCTACCTGTAATTTCATTTGCAATCGCTTTGCTGCTAGGCTCCTCCGGCGCAGGCTCTTCATAGCACTTTTAACACTACCAACAGGCTATTCGCACCGCTCGGCTCACTCTAGGCACCTTGTGGCTCAATATATGGGCAGCAGACTTAATTTATGTGCTTTTGGTGGCAGTAGAGCTAGCTGTTTGGCTATTCATAGCAAGCCCACCTCTTCTGACGTAGCTTGTAAGACTGGCTGGAGTTCTTGGAGCTGAGCCTGCATAGCTGCCACTTGCTTGGACGTCTCTTCAAGCTTCCCCAATCCCTTTTCAAATCTATCTTGAATAGTTACCAAGTCAACTTGCTTGGCTTGAACGAGTTGCAGAAAAGCTGACAGCATTTCCAAGAACGTCGTAGGGGTTGCATACATAGTCCGACCAAGCTCTTCCCTGTATCGTGCAGCAGTGCTTTGAACTCCACTGTGCATGGCTTGTAGAACATTGAGAACCTGTTCATACGACTGGACTACCACATCGCTTTTCTCCATTTGCATGTGTGCAACGGATACTAGGGCCTCTGCTGGCCACTGCGAGCACGGTCGAGCAGCACACAGGACAGCGACAAACGCTGAATCATCTATAAGCAAGCTATCACCTCTCCACGCAGCTGAAGGCACTCCCCCTATCCTCATTCTCATAGGAATTGGGTCTCCACTCTGTATGGCGCCGCTACGTTAAGAAGGGCAACGTCGCACCTCCGAAAACCAGTTGATGGTGCAGCAATTGGTGAAAGAGGGGAACATTCTCAGCCATGTGCGAAACTGCACTCCCAATGGGCTCATGGCCAGAATCATGTGAAGGTTTGCCTTGACCTTTTTTACGTAGGCATTGAAAACGTTTCCTTTTGTTGGGGCCATGCCAAGCTGCTTGCAGTATGCTCTGAGGAAGCATACAAGAATTGTGATGTGAAACAACTAGGCAGCCCGGACCTACATGCGGCGCGACCGAGTGGGTGGCGATAATGCTCGAGATAATGCTGACAAAAGGCACCTCACCTGCAAACCTTCATGATTTCCTCGTTGTCTTCCTTTTTGTATATATTGGGAGCATCTCCATAATTTAAAGCGCTGTTGATGTCCTCTAACATAGTTTCTTCCAGAACTTGAGAATCGCAGAACAGAAATGTTTGCACTTTGTCCTCCAAGCCAGATTTCATAAAGCACGTCTTCAAGTCGTCTCTCCATTCTGAAATTCCGTAACCTATTGGGGCAGACAGAAGCGTTTTGGCAAAATACATGCGGCCCTCTGCGTTTGCAGGCACTTATTGTTCACAGCTTATGATTGCGTGCAATCAAAACTCTCGCACGGTTGGCGCAATATTTATTGTGGAGAACCTTTTGATGCGTCGATTTGGAAGCATTCCGTCTCCATGATGAAGGCAGCGAGGCGACTGAGCGATTGGCGTCCTGAGCCTCTCACTCCCAGGAGAAGAGCGTGCCCTGATGGTTGCCGAAGTACACGGCAGATCCGTGTCACATGACCGCAGGCATCTCCAAACATCACGAGTTGCATTGGAACTGAAAAGGTGTTGTTGTAGTCCTGAAGGTAGTCTTCGACTACGCGCTTGAGCTTTTCAGCAGAAGCGACCTCCTGTGCCATCATATGAAAGACATGCAAGCGCGTGCTTTTGTAGCTCAGAAGAAACCTACTCACATACTCGGGTGAATTCATTAAAAGAGCCAATAAAAGGCTGTTCGAAAAAACCTGTCTGTTTTTACACTGCTAAGTTGATCCTAGGCGCACCAAGTAATGTCTGTCTGACGAATGCTGCACGAAGTCGGCGAATATCATAGATGAAATTTCTTTTGTGTCTGTAAAATCAACACCGAACGTTTGCTTGGCTTGCTGTTGAAGAAGCTCGTGGAACCACCTTCTGTCCTCGTCGTCAACTAGGCGGTCGCAGAACACGCGGCAAGCTTCATGAATCCAGCACCGAACAACCTGAAACACCCCGGCTGTTTTGCCTCAATTTTGGGATACGAAGAATTCCTTTATCGTTTGCTACTTTTGGCAGGGTCGAGATAACGTGTGAGCGCCTTAACTTTATGGCCGTGGGCATGCCACCAAAACATTTCTTAAGGTGGTTCCTCAGTGCAGCGACACAGAAACTTTGCACCACATCAGAGGCCGCTAGAAGCTGACATGCCTTGAAATAAACCACTGCGCACGCAGACCAGGCTATCATATGGTTAGACCATCCTAGCCTGCGCATTACCTCCACAAGAATTGGAGGACGAAATGCTCTACTCACCGCCGTTGGCTCATTTACTACCTTCGGCGAGAGGAATGAAAGTCCTTGAAAAACCTTCCATATTTCACGCATGTTAAATGTGTAGTGGGATTTCATTGGGGTTGGAAGCAATGCTTTGGTAACCTCTGCATAGAGATCAATTGTTGCGAATACCAGTGGGTCTGTGAGGGCCTGAATTCAATTTAGAGACACATTCATGGAGTCATATGAGCCAATGGTGGCCTTGCAGCGGGAATCTTTCAGCTTCATGCTGTCATATTCTCTCATAGTTTCCGCGTCTTCCTCGTGTGGAAAACTATTCAGCGGTCAAGAGCAGTTGGGGCAGCAAATTTCGTCCAGCTGTGAACTATGTTTAACGTACCTGAATATTCTGAGGAAATTGCTGGAAGCAGTACTTGTTTAATGTCTGGAAAATTTTCGCAATGGAAGTTCTTTGGAGCTCGTTGAAAGCTAGGACACAGTAGTGTCTCAACAAACGTGCAGATATTTCGTTCCTTCCTCCTCCTGGTGGACCCATGGCAGCAACCATGGCAACATCCACAACTTCCTGGAAAGCAAGAGCCTTGCGGTCGTACCAGCCTTTGTGATCGAACCTGAACAAGCCTCATCGTAGCGAATAAGAAGAAAGTGTCCCTGTGAGACGTAAACTGAATGGAAGCTTGAAGCGGCTGGCTTTGGTTTGTTCCTGTAGTGACTTTTCGCTTACCACTGCCTTAAAAGTTCCAGTGGAGGCTGAGCTCCGAATTCTTCTTTCCGTGGCATGTTTAAGTCGTCAATAAAGAATATACACGTTTTACCGGCGGCTGGGCCATAAACTCCTCTTCGTCTCTTCTCCAATTTTGCTTCTAGCAGATCCTGCAGTATACCGTAAAACTAGGGGACGCCTGCTCCTCTTGAAGCTCATTTCTACTAACCATATCAACAGGCGGCAAGCGGAATACTGGTCCGAAACTACAAATGTAGTTCAAATTGTTCGCCCTTTCCGAACTCCAAACTTACCTGCACCTGGTTGACGCGCGTGTGCGCAGAAAAGCTCATGAGATGAGCTTCAAAATTTTCCGGTAAAGAGAGTAAGAGAAGCTCCGTCAAAACGACAGTCTTCCCAGTTCCAGTAGGCCCTGGGCAGATGACAGGATGCCCGTTTAGAAGCAACGTGCTGATCGAGTAAGACAGACGGATGGAGTCTAATGTTGGGACTACGATGTTCTCGTACGTCGCGCCCTTTGGTACTACGAATGATGATGCTGTGTCTTCCCAGTGGGTCCACCGATGGCTGTTGATATCGTAGCAAAAGTCGAAAAAGCTTGAGTCTGCCGCTGGAAGATCAATATCAAACCCAAGCTCTCGCACTCTGTTTTGAAGCCAGTCGTCGATTTTCTTCCTGCTCGGGCCTAATAAAAGGTTCACAGAGGCATCACACAGCAATTATATTCCGTTCTGCAGCTGAACTCTTTTAGCCAACGGGCTCTCAGATAAGCGGACATTCAGCTTACCATCTACTGCGACCCCAAATGACCAAACAAAGCTGAAAATAAAGGCGGCAGGAAGACGCGAAAGCAGCACATCTCCTTGTTCACTATCGGCTGGCTTGTCCACTGGGCGGTAGCGGGAGCAAATGGAGCCCAGCATTCGGAGACAAGACACGCAGAGGTTAGAGTTCACCGTCCTTATGACCTCCTTGCACTGCTTTCTGATGAAAACAGTCCCTCCAGCGATTATGTTATCGCACAGTTCTTCAATGAGTGTTTTATGTGCATCTTTGAATGTTGGAGGAAGCCCCTTTAGCCAAGAAGCAACAAGTGGCCGAAAACCAAGGACGTCTGGCTCCATATACACCATTCCACAGCGACTAACTGTTGCAGGAGATGCTACGGATAGGTCTTCGACCTAAGGCCACACACGTACTCGGCTATCATAGTTGAATCGAGCCTAACAACCAGCACCGTGGGGATTTTTTGGGTCCGTTTATTGAAAAAATATGTGGACAACTCTCACCTCAAACATTATTACCATTCTTGGCGTTAGAGCAATAATTTCTCCGGAGTTGAGACATAGCTTTTTGTTGTCATCCAAGACAGAATTCATGCTTTCAATCCACAGGGCGTCAACTGGACCATCAAACATGATCCAATGCTGATCGGGGGAAGTGTCGCGAATTGAATGGCGAATGAGTGCCGCTGCCAAGCCATCTGTCCATTCATGGGTTGTTTCATTAAAACATCCGTAAAGCTGCCCAATAGTCACGGACTTCGGGTTCAACACGTCGACATGCACCTGTACATAAGAAGCGGCAAGAAGAACCGCTGCTTTTGAACTCATACTTAGGAGCGTGTGGCCAAGACAATTTATGCTTGACTTGCTCAGAGTAGATGAGTAAAAGAGCTGAGCGCACCTTGGCAAATCCGGGGACCTTATGTAGGTCGCTCATGGCGGCAGCTAGCAGTCTGTAGCTGCTTGTCTTGCCCCCTCCTGTGGGGCCCACAAGCATGATGCCATGACGAACCTGAACTGTGTCGTAAAGTTGCATCACTTTCAGCATAAAGGCTTCAACCGGCTGCAGCCTCAGCACCTCCGACTGAAGTGCAAGTGCTTCTTGAAGGAGCTGGTTATCAGAGCGGGGTATTTCGATTCCAGGGAACAGATCAGCAATAATATTTTCAAACAGAGGAAGATCGTGAGACAGGAACTTCGGGACGTTCACATCTTTGAGTGCTTGAAGCAGAATTTGTTGTTCGTCCATACTGCTATGTTTTCTTTTTAATGCCCCCGCTGCATTGATGACTGATCGAACCGCTCTCATGCCGTAGTCGTAATGATCTTGAGATGACAATTGCTCTGATGATAACTTGAACGTTGCAACCATTTTCGTTGCCAATTCCCTGGCTTGATCGAAACCAAAGCTATATAGCATAATTTCAGCGATCATCGAGTAATCTGGTACCTGAGGCCAAAAGTCTTATCGATTGCGAAAGGTGGTCGAGCCAAGAAAACAATATCCTAGCCCTTTCCAGCAACAGTTGCGGGGTTCAAGACTTTTCGTTGCCATGCTAAATTCTGTGTAGCCCCTCGGCATTAGTGAAGCGTCACTGCCTTACCATCATGGCCATAGGCCTGAAAAGGCATTTGAGGTTATCCGGAAGCTCCGTTCTGCCGGCGTACCCAGGGTTCATGGTGATAAATACGTTGAATATAGGCTCAACCACTATGCGCGAATCCTCAAAATCAATCTCCAACGTCGTATCGTAGCCTTGAAGTTGATTTTTCGCTCCAAACAGCACAATCAGTTGTTGCGCAATAACGGACAATACCTGTAGAGCAAAGTGAACAAGGCAGCATAGCAGCGACCCTTCAAATTAGACATTATGTGGCACAGTGCTGGCTGAAATATTGGCTGCGTTGCAAAAGCGTTGCACGCTGAACCGGAATTCTGCTGGACCTAGTACTAACCTCCACATTGATTCGGTTGAATTCATCAAAACAACACCATGCTCCTGAAGAAACCAATCCTTTGAAAAATTTTGCTATCATGATGTAGTCCATCATTTCGGAGCAGTTAAAAACGACACACTGGGTTGCCAAAGCTTTCGCCAAGTCCTTCGTGGTTTCTGTCTTTCCTGTTCCTGCAGGGCCTGCCAGTGACCCGCCTGCAGCGCAATCCGCAGTCAAGCAAAATAATAAGCGTTTGCTCGAAACAGGAAAAATGTAGATATGTTGACTTAATGTTTCTGTGGGAAGAAGAGTACAGGAACAGTTGGGTGCGGGCTGTACGCCTACCGAGGTTAAGCTGTTGAGCCCCCATCAACGTCATATACGCCATGTCCGTTAGTGGAGTGATCACCAACCGTGAAGTATTTCCAAGGTACTCGTTGCCATACGGGAAGTCAGTCTGCACACACTGGGTCCAGCAGTTGTCATCTCTCCAATAGTATCTCAACTGGGCAATCCATTCAAACGCTTCCACGCTGGACACCTCTTCGTCCCAAAGACGTTGCACGATGTCTTTGGCGTGGACGTCAATTACAATAAGAGCCCCAATGGTGATGCTCTGCATCGAGTTGAGTCCCTTTCGAACAAGTGCGACCTGCATAAGAGCAGATTAGAAAACAGACCATTTCATGTAATTTACATTGCAAACGCTTTGCCTTGAAAGAACAATAGTTTCTCGTTTGCTGGTATGCTTTGCTTAAATAAGATCATGGAAGCCGCCAACAGGAAGTTTCCAACATACGCAACTTCGTGGTTGGCTGCATTCCATTCACGCGGTCGCATTGCCAACGGCACTATGAGTGGCACAAAAGCTTTATGGCTGGCCTCGCGGCACTCTTACCAGGTCTAGTAGCTGCCTTGTGCGAGCTTCCATGAGGCTTTTAAGCTGCCCGGTTTGAATGGCATCTTCAACTAAGGCGGTCCAATGGACCTGGCTACCGTTCAGCACACACTGCCCAGCATGTTTTGTAACCCACGTTGTTCGCTCGCATTTGGCGTAGTCCGTTATTGCTTGATGGAGTGCGTTTTTAACGGAAAGCTTCATAATCTGCTCCAAATCTCTCATCCAAATCTCTACGCTCCTGCCGGCAGTTGCGAGATCTTTGACAAATGCCATTTTCTCGCCTGTAGATTCAGTAAGAATGCCAGTTGTGAGTCTTATCGCCCCTTTTAAAAGTAGCAGACTCAGTCTTTATGTGTGCAAACTTAGCCTACCTTCGGCAGAAAACATGGCAGTAGCCACAAGGTCTGAGTTGAATTCCAGTTCATTTATGTTCTCGAAGACTTTGCATAGGAACGCTTGGACCTTTAGCGGATCTGTCGATTCCGACAAAATCTCCAACAATTCATCGTTCGAAAGAAAGTAGAAGCGAGCGAACTGACTGCGTTTAAGCTCAAGATACGACTGGAGTTCTTTCTGCACTCTCTCCAAGAGCCTGTTGTTTTCGCGAAGTTTATCCGCCAAACCAGGGGTTGAACACGCAGCCAGCACTTGGGGCTCTTCATACGTGTGTCGCATCAAAACCCTCCAGGCAGTGTCCACAGTGAAAAACCTGAACTTTAAACAGAACAGATCCCTCAGTATTCAGCTTAAGGGTCTCATGCATCGTGAAAACTGTGCGCTCTACGTTCTCATTTCGCATCTGCAGCTGAATATTGTTCTTTGTTTCATATTTGTACCGCTTTGTTTCTGCTGGAAGTTGTTTCGGTATATCGGGCGAGTGGAAGATTGGTTGCAGATATAGCCAGGCTCTTTGACACTTGAGCCATTCGTCTAAGGTTTCAGATGCCTGAGCTCGTAGACAATCTCTTCACGCAGTTACTAGATTGGCCTTCAACCTCTGAAGGGTTGAAGTTAATGTCTTGGAACTCAAGCTCTGAACGGTTGAAGTTAATGTCGTGGAACTGCAACTTTGTGGCACTGACCGTCATTATGAGATTGGCCCACTCTTCAATCTCCTTTTCCAGAGGCTTCTTGTAAATCGAAAACTGCAGTCCTTGCGTAGTCATAATGTGCTCGTCAAGCAAAGCCACGATTTCGTCTGTACCTTTCAAAATGTAAGTATCTGTGTCCTTGTATGTCTCTGGAAAATCAAATTTGATTTGCTCCCATTCGGCCTTCATGGTTTGTAGAGCCTATCAAAAGTAGCAGTGCATTCCTATTTCCATTTCTAATGTCGCCGTCCATAATTTTAAGGATAACTCAGCCTTGATTTCTTTTGACGGCACATATTAGGTACAGGAATCCGCTCAGTTTTAAGCTCATGTGCACGCGCTCACCTTCTCAAGATAGCTTTCTTTAGTAGCTAGCTCCCCAAGCTCCACGACGAAGTCCGTGCAGCTTGCGATACCCTTGTCCAATAAGGAGTTTAAGGTGAGGGTGGTTCCTTCGTCCAGTTGTGGTTCTCCAATACGTTCGAACAGCTGTGAATCCAGCAAAAGAAGTGTAGCAGACGCTTTAGGAGTCTGATACTAAGCGTCATCTTGTCCCTAAGCAGTGAATTCAAAACCACTGAGAGGCTTGCTGTGTTCCATCAGAGAAAAATAAGCCTACTTTATTCCAGTGCCTCTCACGCATGCCCTCGTTTCTCAAGGAAACAATAATAGGGACCAGCGGCTTGAACTCGGCAAGCTCGCTCATGACGCCGGAGGCTTTGGCTAGCACTGCGAGAAGGTTGCGCTCTTGCAGGACCTTTTCCACTCGGCGAAGTGCCTTAATACCACCATATACCTGCTCAGGCATGCCACAGGAAAGTGCGTACCGAGCAGTGTGGCTCCCCCGGTGTCGGCAAGTTGATACCGCGCAGGGCGCCACGCAAAATTTTATGAGAGATTGCCAAATGTTAGATATTCATAGTACAGTGTTATGTATACAGCACCTGCTTTTCTATCTGTGCTCCGTCCAAGCTTGCGAAGGAAGCAGTGAAAATTGAGTCTCGCATGACACTCCACTGGTACGCAGTTCGCCAAAGGGTAGAGAACGGCTCAAATTCCTGTATACAGGTTCACAGCCCATGGGGAGAGCAATATAGATTTACTCTGGTAAACGCCAGCAGGAACCGATTTTGGCGTGTTTGTCCACAAACCTTTTGAATCTTTATCAACGACGTATAGTCCGTCACTTCTCTCCCAAAAAGCCGTTCTCTGTGGTTAAACACTTTAGCTTGCTGAATACTGAAGTCAATCCTCTCTCCAACGGCGAGAACGCTATCGTATACCTCTGCCAGCTTTGATGTGTCCGTGAAATTTGCGAATCCAGCTACGACATCAGCGAGGTCAACAATAGTAGCTGCGAATTCGCACTGTATGAGCGAACGCACAACCGGCAGAAAGAATCGATTTATGCCGCGGCCGGATGACGAACTTGGAAATGCTGCATCTGTATGCAGTGCGCCTTTATGGAAAGGAAGTACCATCAAATTTATACTTTAGGGGGAATACTGAAGGGAGTATTGAACAAAGGCTGACTCTTTCACCTGTTGGGCCAGCATGTCATCCAGAAAACGAGCTCTGTCCTTGATAAGAGATGTTGCTACTTCGTTTGAGAGCTCAAGAATCTCCGCAGGAGATGCGTAGAGTTTCCACCGCAAGTTGTGATCTTCAACAAGAAGCTGTACTAGAAGCATGTGACGCACGCAAAAGCTTTTCCGTGAGTGGCCTACAGCAGCTGCGTCAATGACGCTGATGTGAGGTCCTTGCTTGCTGTCTAGCCTTTCAAAATTGTTTCGACTCATTTATAACCCTCACTCTATATTTGAAGGTTTCAAGCACGTCGAATATATGCAGCGCTGATTTGATGTCGACTGCGAGAGCCTCCAGCTTTGCCGGGGTATCGTCCATGAATTCCCGTAGCTCGGTGAGTTCTTCGATTCCCGGTGGCTGCTGCTTCAAAGTGATAGAGATTTTTCTGAATTCTTCCAAAGTTTGCGTGCACTGCTCACGAAAGCTGAGGTAAGCGGCACGCAGCAGTCTCAAACGTTCTCGTTATACAGATGAGCAGCTGAAGAGCTTTGCCAGGAGAAAACCTGCTGTGGAAGTGGCCATCGTTGATTTTTATTTGGGAGTAATCTGAGGGTTGTATTTAGCAAACTAGAGCATCTTGGTACCGAGTATTACCGTTTTGCTAGGACATCCAGTAGCAGCTGTGTAACGCCCCGAACTGTTGCTTTCAAGCTGCTTTTTATATCTTCACAACCAACACAGAACACTCCGACTAGAACTGAAGAGGGGATTTGCTCCTCTATTTGTTCAATTCTCTGCAAATGGTAAGGCAGCCACTCCCCATGCCGAAGAAGAATTCCAGTACTTCGGTGAGGCAGCCCAACCGCGGCAAAAATAAAGAGCTCTCAGCTCCATTGCATACTCAAAGCGCCTTGCTTGTTTCCGCGTTAGATGCGCATGACACGTACCTCATGGTATCCCAGAATGGCCTGCTTGAATGCTTCAGCCACGCTACCTACTGCAGCTCGTTGCTCCGTCTCGGCTACAACGTCTTCTGATGAGAGGGAGAGGATGTCAACGAAAGGCTCAAATTGGTCTACCAGCTGCTTCAAATGAGGAGTATGCGATTCTATAAGCCTTAAAATAGTCTGCTTGCTCCCCTGCAGATATGAGCACAGAGCAGTGGTAAAACAGTACATCGACGGCACAGAAAATCCCTCCAGAAAAATAATATTATTCAGTTTCTCTTCTGACAATCTGAATCTGATGTAGTTACTGCTGCAAAATGAATGAAAAACCTTGATGAGGCACCACAAAGCCCACAAAAATGGCGAGTTCCAGGGAGCTACTTCACTTCGCCAAATTCCCGGTACAAAAATAGGCTGTATTGGAGGACTCACCTGCACCGAAGCTTCTTCTAAAGCAAATGGAGCGGCAATGTGTTTCTGCTGGCTCTTAAATAGGTGTGGAAGTACTATCGTTTCAGGTTGAGGGATATCACCCATCCTCGTAATCCTGAAAGCATAAGGGGTGCGAAAATGCCCAAGAACTCACGTGAATCTTTAAGGCTTCGAGTGTACTAAGAAGAGTTTTATACTCTGTTAAACTTGCCCTCTGTCAAAGAATTCATCTGCAGCTTCCGCGAATGCTTCTGGCTGAGGCGTCAACATAAACTGAGTGCCGTCAGGCGAGCGAGTGATATCAACGAAGAAGAGACCTTTCCACGAGAGCTCGCGGCTTAGAGCCTTGATGCGCGATTCCTCATACACATTTTTTACGCTGGACAAAGACGTGATTTCCACTCTGTCGGGCGTTGATGATCGAAATAACTCCACAAAGTCTTCTATTGATCTCGCTGTCATCTCCCTGAGAGCTCTACAGATGTCGTTAGCGATATGTTGTCATCATAGCTTTCCAATACGTGGAAAATAAAGTGTCACCATCAGTGGCATCAGTGGCATTTTTGCTGAAGCAGGAGACACCAAAGCTTTGCAACGCCAAATTTCTTACCGAAGTGCATCTCTCATCAAAAGGCGCGTCAAGATTAGCATCCGTTTAATCTTCCCGTATTCGTATGTTTCCTTGTTAAACTCATAGATATTGAACCACCCTTTACCAACATGACGCAGGTTCGACTCTATTATTTGGTGCAGTTTGGAAGTCCACACCTCTTGCAAAACGTATGTAGCCTGTGTCAATAAATCGAAAGTTAAGAGAAAATAGTGTGCTGGACAATCACTGGGGTGCCTCACGAGTCCCCTGAGTTCCTCCTGGAGTGCATCCACGAACTGGTGGAACGTACTTGGCTTATTGCTGCCCGCTGCAATTGGCGAAATTCATCCAGCTTTACAGCCTGAACAGAGAGTCGAGGCATATCAGTAAACTGCAGCGCCTAGAATCGAGTGTTTTCATAGAGTCAGGCCATTTGAAAAGAAACGTTTCAAATTGAGAGGCACAGCTGGCTGCATCGTACTTTTGTAAATGATGTGCTGAAAATGCGTTTTTCCAACACGTGAACACATTCTTCACGGATTCCGACCATCGCCCGTATTACTTCGTTTTTCACGTAAAGCGATGTCGAGCAAAAGGAAGCAAACGCTTTGGAAAAGTCATACGCTGGCACGCTGACTAAGGCATACCTGTAAACAAGCAGAGCGGAAGCATGGGTCCATCTTGCTTCAGCTGTGCAAGCGCGCTGGCTGTTTGTCATTGGTACAGTGAATTGTACTTTCCATGCCAGCATGTCTATGCAAAGGAAATCAACTTAGCTTCCATTGTAAGTGTAGTGCGAATTGCTGAACTCATTTTCACTCCACATCATTTGCCCTTACCACGCTGGTGGTGGTGGCTTAGGGACAGGTGGTAGCTGCAGGTCTGTTCGTAACCGTTTGTCTTTGCTTCTGTCCAGAAATATGTCGAAGGCGATTTTGTTCATTGCTCTGGCGAAGCAGCTGTTGACTTCCTTTAACAGACAATCTACTGTTGCAGTTTTGCAGCCGCGGGTCCTTGGGCAACTCAGAGCCTTGTCCAAAACGCGTTTGTATTGAACATCGTCTGCAGGAAAAAACCTGGAAACTCCCTGTTTTGTGTACAAAACAGGCCAAATGTCTCCATGTAAAACTTGTCAACGCGGAGACGATTTCGAAGCGCTGCTGCCCAGAAAAGCCCAGCTAGCAGCTCACCTAATCCAGGAACGTCACTCGTAGGCATGTTGTCTATGTAGTAATTGTACTGGATAAGACTCTCTGCAGCTGCCCTGTGAGGCGTTAGAAAAAACAACGTAAAATTAGGTTGAAGTTCGTGCCTGCGTCCAGCTTGAGCTTTATTGCCCAGCACAAAACAGAAAGGGCAGGTGCGAATTGTAAAGCTGACCTTGACTTGTGAGCTGCCTGTAGTCTGTCCGCAAACTTGACTGGGTCTTCGCTCTGCAGAAAGCACACTCATCTGCTGATTTGCTCATCGGCAAAAAGAAGGGAGAATGCAGCTCTTGAAAAGAGCCGTACCTTTCCAGAGCAAACCGAGAGCCTAGTCGTGTATCATACCTTGAACACCAATTCAATTCTTAGCAGCTCAGCCGTGCTTCCATCGCACCACTGGACATGGAACCTGCTAGTGGCATCATCGAAGGCATATACGCGGCAAGGCTCCCATCTGCAGTTTTTGCCATCTCGGCGAAGCCCCTGTTGATACAGTCACATTCAGTGGCAGCCTCACTTTACCACGCAAAATGTTCGTATCGAGTGCATTGATGTCCACGGCATTGATTCTTAAGGGAAGAGTTCATATAGTCCTTGCATTGGACATCTTCAATTGTAGGGAGACCTGCAGCTCCGGTGGCCTATTGGAGCACAGTCCTACTAGTGAGAGCTTGCATTTTGAAGTGGCTTCGTACCTTCGCAGACAGAGGCAGAAACTCCCCGTCTGCACTTGTGCAAAGGGCCATCCATTCTTGTGGAGAACGGTCGTCAAAGGTTGTATCATCGAATGGCTCTAGCGGCAGCCTGAAAAGCACCGAGTATAAGAGCTTCCAACTGTTGTTTTCCCGTGCCAATTGCGTCAAACTGATGGCACATTAGGTTACTCTCAGGGTTTGCACGTTTTCTGCTGCTTGTATTTTGCTAACCAGCTCTTTGCTTCAAATGTTGGGTCGCTGTAGTTGATTCCACGCTCGAGTAATAACTCTTCTATGCTGTATGCCTCATACGCTCTTCGTCTACGTTCCACCGTAACCCTTCGAGGAGCACTATTAGGAGCGTGAAGCTTCGCTGCAATCACTTTTGGCTCAACAGGAGCAGTATCAAAAGGTGGGGGCTCGGAAAGGCCTGAAAACGAGCAAGTGAATTTCCAAGCATTCCCCTAGAGGGGCAGACACTCTTACCGTCTCAATATGCTTATTTCAGTACCCTAACATCATAAGTTCCGTGTCACGGAATCGACGGCGGCTTGCTGTGGATGCCAAGACGATTTTATTCCTGATCTTTTTCCTACTGAGGCTAAGAATGCTCAGCTAGAATGAGCTTGCTAGGTGCAAGTCAGTGTTAAGCAGCGGGCGTAACACAAACCTCTGAAAGATGTGGCCGTAGACTGAAAAGTTCTGGCAGGGAGCGGGGCAACGCAGACAGTATCACGCTCCCACGCCTCCTCTGGTGGACCCATAGATGCCTGTTGCAACAACAAGGAGCCCACAGGTATACCTTGGAGTCCCAGGCCCCTAATCTTAGGATCCTAGAGTCTGCCTATGTCGTATGCTTGTGCATAGAAGCAAGACGAAGAGAGCTGTGCGCTCCAATAATTTAAACAGACGGGCAAAAGACACTGTTTCCTCTGTTGTCTCTCTCAAACGCCGTTGTTTTGGACCTATTAGACTAAATAATCACTTGCAGACAAGGGTTGGAGCATCTCACTTGGAGAATTTGGGACTTCTGAATGTTAAGAACCTCCGAATAGACCCCACGCTCCAAATAAGGAATGGCTTCCTGACTGGTAGCGTCATCGGGGCTACGCGGGCTGTAGCTGGGAGAAGCCGCATGGTCACTCATTGTCTCGGGCTTTTCGCTTTAAGCCTTTTTACGGGATGAGATTAAGAGACCAGTTACTCTCCGTGAGCTCGTTTCCGCCCAACTATTCTCAAGTTCCGTTAAAGCTCTAGTCGCTAGCACCAGATACGTTCCTTACACGCCCTCCGCAGGTGGCTTGCATTTTGGGTGCCTCACATACAAGCTCGGCACTTGCTTTACTTACTACACACTTTGTTGTGTTGACTCAGCCCTTGTCCAGGCTTGTCGTGAGCCCTTTTTGGAACTGAAGACTACAAGGTGGTCCCTCTGTTGGACATTTCCCCATTCACTATTCCAGTACTTATAGCTTGGCTCTAGAGCAAATGGAATTCAGTGTTTTAACTGTCTCGTACGAGCTCTCTCCAAATGTCTTGGCTTTGGGGAAGGTGAACAAACCCCCGGAGTTGAAGTTGCTGATGCTTCAATTACACTAGACAAGAGCCACTGCGAACATTGCGTATAAATCACAGATGTGATTCTGCAACATGGTTCTATAGAGAAAGCATTACAGCTTTCGCTCGCGGCGGCGGGCCATCGCTTCAGGGTGAAAGATGAGCTGCCCGCAAGAAAACTTTCACTTGGAAGTGTGTATATTCCGCAGGAACCTATTTCAGTACGCTTGCCCCAAAATTATCTCACAGACAGCGTGGTCTAATCACTTCACACTCATGTTCGGTGTGACCAAAGAGAGGGTTACTACAGGGATAAACAGCACCGCAGCTAATTGGCTGATTTCTTGTCGACCAATGCAGCAGCGCCGTATGGAGGATTATTGGACTAAAATACGGCAGCAAACAAGAAGCTTGGCTTTACTATTTTCGCAGCATGACCAGTGTGCGCACTCTCTGTTGGCGAATCTACGCCGTCTCTGGCTGTAGGGCTGGGCTGGTTGTATAGGAGCTACCATCCTTGCCGAAGCGCAAGGCTCGATAAACAGTCTCCATCATTTGTATTTTTCAGTTTCAGATTTTCTTCGATTTAAATTTTGTGGCCTGCTGAGACCAAGCTAGAGTCTGAAGGTGGGAGCGATCAGCCCCGTCGCGGCCTGCTAACGAAAAGCCACACAGGAGATCCCTCCAACAGCAGCACCCCCACAACGTACAATTTGGTTCTAGTGAGTATTACATGCCACTGTTGTTATGAAATAAATCGTAAAGAAGAACGGAGTTCTGTGTTTTTGACTCCTCACGGTGCCCCAGGATGCCCATATCCGCCCAATAGAGATTAAGGGCAAAGGATTGAAATGCAATTGTTTTCATGTTTATACATATGGCTGTGCATAATACAAACATTGAACCTGCACAATTTATTCAGTGCAACGAACTGCATTGTTTGCCCGTCATTTTTTCTGGTGTCACCTGGCTAGTGGTTTGGGTCACCTGCAGAAGGCACAGCCGCGACTGGAGGATTCCAAAATGTCCACAGTAGCCAGCCTACAGTCAAGGGATACTGACAAAAACTCATAAACTAGGGCTTGCGAACTGCCGCATTCACGTCTAACCGTACACAGAGATGCATATTTCCATTAAAGCTCTGTAGATAAAATGGCGCGCATCGGCGACGAAGGTAGAAAGTAGAAACATTGCGTGAACCATCGTTCCAGATGCTGCAGCTGTTTCTATTTGGAAATCTAAGCGTCGTGTACAGCCGCGGCTAGGGGCTTGCCTGACCCTGTATGTACCAAGTAGCAGAAAGTGTTTATGCAGTGTGCCTAGGTAAAGTAAGCTAAGAACGGCCAGATAATGGAGTAAACACGCTTTTCGACTACAGCGCCCATTAGTGTCTGGGCACTGCAAACAAAACTTGCCCTTTCAACACGAGAAAAGGGAACTTGTCGCTAATGAAGCCAGTCAAGTAGCGCTTTTGCCGCGTCGGCTTACGCCATTGAAACCTAGAGCTATTTCCAGGGAAGAAGGCGCGACACGTAAAGTCTAATGCCTTTCACACTAAAAGGAACGCTTTATAGACTATTTTGGGGGGAAATGCATCACCAGTGGTTCGTTTCCTCTTTGTTTAGATGCTCTAGAGCACACCACGTTTCTTGTGTGCACTGAAATACACTTCTCTCGGCGTAGGTATGGGTCTTGAGAGCTTTTTCGTGTTTCTAAGCGCTTCCGTAGCAGCCGGTGAAGACGGCATTTTAGTTGAGGAGGTTAGGAGAGAATTCAAGTCCGGTGTCTGTGGCGGAATCGGCAGGAGTTTCGAAGTCTTCAGGCGCAACCTCGGCAAGCTTAACGGCTTCACCACCGGGGAAATAGCTCACTAAGCTTTTGAATGCGCCGACATCTTCCCACTGGGTGGTGACAGTCGCCATTAGCGTCTTGAAAGCTGTATCTGAAGTAACAGAGAACGCTTTCACAGACCACCGTGACTTTGAATGCAGGTTAGATTGTGCGCGGCCACGCAAGAGAGACGGATTACAGATAAAATCAGCGGGTACATGCTCTTGAGTCCATCTCCTGTATCAAGGAGGCAGCGCCAATGATAGTGGCTTTTTTCAGAGAGTCTTTATGCCATGACAGAGAATGCATTTACCTGGGTATACAGGGCATGCAAGTGCAAGTTTGACTCACCAAAAACGTCAGAGCTTTGGCTCGTGCCAAAATTGTAAGTAGCAGCTGCAAGCTCTTCCGCAACTTTGTGACGACCTATCCTGCGTAGAATACTGTCGCCTTCTATGTGCATGAGGTACCATGACCGAAGTGTCATATCGCGGGAAGCACTAAAACAATCCTTGAACCGCTGACTGACACGAAGAGCGGCAAAAAGGCCTATGAAAGGGTGAGGTGGGCGGGGCCGGCGGGGGATAGCGCCGCCAGCTTCGAGAATTGTTTGCACGAAGAGATCTGCATGCAGTGCGCTGACCCCTACAGTGTTTGCTATGCCACCGTAAAGCGAGCGCGCAGCAAACCGTGAGCCATTCATTTCAGCCGGCTGCTGGGCAACCGTTCCTCCAGCATACACTGAAGCAAAAGCACAGAAAGAATAAGCGCAGGCGTTCTGCTATTGCAGTATTGTATACGCGGCTTGCAGCCGGAGCTGTGCCGAACTGTCACGTCTTAGTGCGATACTTACTCAGGCTGAAGCACTTCTTCATTGCTTTGCCTGCACGCACCATCACACGCTGCAAAGCAGCTTACGGAATACTTTGAAGTAGCTCTTGACTACGTGCCTCTCAAACCCTCTACAGTGGTGAATGATGCCAAAGGTTTTCAAGGACTGACTGGAGAAATGTTGCTTCAATGCTTTTGTCCGCTTGTTGTACTCGGACGTATTCTCTCTGCCGTCTTCGTCTATCTCAGTCAGTATGTATTTGTCCGAGTTCTTTAGTCGTTCAATCAGAACGGAATTGGCCGGGCGGCCGTTTGGAAACTCCAGTCCGGCCTCTACCTGTTGCTGTTGCCACGCTGTGACAAAGACGCCCGCGGCGGCGCAGAGAGCCGCAGCCTGTGTGTTCAAATCTTTCGCCTTTGGCTTGATATGCTCAGCAAGCGCCGCGGGAAGGAGAAGCGAAATTCTGAAGATAAGATCCTCTGTTGTTTTGAGGACATCGATGTAGCAACGGCCCAGCGCATTCGACCGAACACAGTGGCATTTACCTGACACCAGCAGCACGCGCTTTTATTTCTCTCATACTTGCTGATTGCATTCAGAGCCACCAAACGTTATTATCCCCTGTTAGAGCATTTTTGAGGCAATTACACGCTTCTGCTTCACAGACTCTACTCAAGAGAGAGCCGCAACCCTGCCCAAGGTGCAGCCTTCGAAAGTTTCGTTGCATGGTCCAAAAGAGTGCTGCTTACTTGAAGATGGGAGGAATAAGGGCACTTTACTGTGGGGGCCTGCAGAAACCGCCATAGTATGACAAAGCAGTTCTATTTCTTCGATCATGGCCGATTCAGTGTCCTTTCAGCTTCTGGCAGCACCGAAAAGAAACTGTTTGCTGCATCACTCACCGTGAGCCTTGTCAATGATTGCCTTTACTTGGTTCCACGTTGTGGAACTGCTAACAGACTCGCCAAGATCAGCCAGCCACTTCCTAACGGGCCCTTGAAGTGCTCTTACATCTGAGTTAGAGTCGCAGCAGCAATGGCATGCTGCTGTAACTCCCGCGCAGCGCTACGGCCACACTCTATTTTTTGAGCTAGTGCGGTTCTTTGTGAATAGTTACATATTTGTTATTCCATTCGTTAAATCCGATTAAGGCATACCGCGTAGGGCAGCCACAAAGGCTTCGGCTTCCTCTGGGGTAGTAGGTAAACGTGGTGTTGTCCACCCAAGCCGCTGACAGGCTTGCCCGTAAGCATGCGGAGTGGAGTAGGTAAGTCTCTTTAAAAACGGCACGACATCCTCAGCAACATGCCTCTCCGGCACTGAGGGCGCAAAGCACAGTTCTTGATTCCCTCTAGCGCTCTGACTACTGTAGTCAACCCCCTTAAAGCACCTTACGCAGCAAACAACTTCTACAACAGTCCCGTTACAATAAGCTCTGCCCCTACTGCCACCCCGAAACTATCAAGTAGGACTTCATAGGCCGCTTCTGGAAAGCGTAGGCTCCTATAGGAGGCCCAGGTGCAGCATGTAGCGGCGACTTACTGCTGCGAGACACGTCGGACGAGACATCATTCCAGCGATGATCGAACAAGTTCATAATGGCTCCCGGTACCAGCAGAACACCTGAAATGATGAGCCCACCCACAGTATACCGCAGCTGCTTCGTAGTTTGCATCTGCGAGTGATATCACCTCGAGTTACCCAACGAACTAGGCAGAAGCAAAAATAATTAGAGCCTACCACTAGCGACGTCGACGAATTGTTGGGCTTCATTAACGTTCTCCGGGTCTTTGTTCTCTGGCCACGAAAGAGTTCTTGTGATGAGGAGGTGCTTCTCTGGCTGCTGCCTTCGCAGCCTACGCGAGTATTCCTGGACTTGCAGTACAGCTTCGCTATCGCTATCTGAACAGCAATCATTTCCATAGAAGTACGTAGAGTAAGTGTGCAGGTAGTAACTATGTGAAGGTGCAATGAATAGGGTAAACAGCTTCTAGATTTGCTTACCTTCACTTCTCTCTGAAGTGTCTGACTGGCCACTGGCCCCCTCTTGAGAGGCTTCTGAGTTGGCCAAAATGCCTTCAAGTAAGCTAAGGCCCTTTGCGGGATGGGACCATAGACGAACGTAAAACGTGGAGCCTGCAGATGGCGTGTGGCCCTTTGCAGCGACAGCATCATCAATGCCAGAACTGATGACGGAAGTTTGACTGCTGCCCTCGTCACGGAAGAGATAATCCACCAGCGGCCGAGTCCTACTACTGCTCGCCTCCTTTGCCACTGATGCGAGAATGCGATGAACAGAAATACAAGGCAGTAAAGGGGAGCGAGAAGCATTAGCAAATAATAACAAGATGTGGAGCAACTAAGCACGTACAAATTCTGCTTTGGTGCGGGAAAAATAGTGAGAATGCATGACCCTGCACCAGTTCTCACTACAAGACACAATCAAACATCCTAATTTATAGGGAGCTATGTTCAGTTGGGTAACACGGCACTGAAGGGCTGACTTACAGAGGCTGAGAAACTCGCTGAGGGTGGGGGCGGCTGACAAGACATGCGGCCTGCTGCCGATGTCTATCGCTGAGAGATCATCTTGAATGCTTCCCAGCGGTGCTGCAGTGACAGCAGCAAACGCGTGAATGAATAAATGTGTCTGATCGAAAGCTGGGGCGTTTAAGGGCCACCGAAAAGGCACTTGGTCAGGGCAACATAATTGCTGAAGCTGTACCTGGAGATACCAGAGAGCGGACGTAGTCATAAATGGCGCTGCGGCCATCCGCTTTAAATCCAGGTAGACGCTGCAGTGCCAGCAATTCTCCGTCCCCCTCAAGACAAGAAGTAACGGCGTCTTCGACTCGAACTGAAGGGATCAAATGGCACCGCAGAAGCGGCAAGAGCATTGCTCAGGCAGGAGCAGCAAAAGAGCCACTTGGCAGCGCATCCTGAAACGTCCTGCATGCTCTACTACTAGCCAGAAGTGGGCATTTGTGTTTCTGTCATTCGCCCATTCGATTTGGTTGGCTTTAAGAAGCAGTCACCATTGCAGCCCTCGATGACGGCGTCTCTGAATTCGTTAGCATTCATAAGAGGCGCGAACTTGTCCATTGGCAAGGTCTGCACGAGGGATTTCATGTAGCTGTTCAGCCCGTAGCAATGGGAGCGGCTGCTCTTCTGCTTCACCACCATGCTGCTGATGTGAGCATTCAGACATGTTGTGGCATAAGTCGCCAGCTGAGACAAGTGCCTCCGGCGGGGAGAAGAGCGGGTCACTGCACGGCAAAAACTTGCAGAACAGCACTCACTCGCTACGGAAGGGAAGCGGGCGAAGAGGCCCCCGCAGCAGTTCAGCAGCACACCTATTGCTTTGAGTTTCCATTTGCGCTTCATCCTGCAGCTACTTATTTTGTGTGGAGTGTACAGGAGAAAGAAGGAGAGACGCAGAAGGCACGGTCTAACTCCAGCGTTTGCCTCCGCTACTGTTGAAGTTGTGGGGCTTACACATGTCCGTGTGAAGGTCAAGTTCGACTCCCAAGAGTGCAGGGCCCGAAGCAGTCTCCGCTGCGAAAGAGCAACAGGAGATGCACCAGAACATTCTATCGGGGCCCTAGAGATGCAGCGCGCTGAGAAGGCACAACTTGCTAAAATAACAACAATCAGTAGGTGACGAAGGATAAGAAGCTGCACGCGGAATGATGGGTTTTAAGGCCTGTAGTATGGTGCTTCTTAGTTTCTGGGCCCCACCGAAAAGAAGAAAATCTTGCCCCCTAAACTCTGCCCAAGACAGCGAGTCTGGAAGGGTATCGCTGCTAAGTCCCAAGCCTAAGAAGAACATAGTACGAAGATGGACATCTTCACACAAGCGTTCTTCCAGTTGTCGGCTGTTTCAGTGAAGCTTATAAGACACTGTAGCAACAAATTTCGCAACTGGCTATCCTTTTGTTTATGCTTTTCTGAATGCCGATTAGTTGACGCCTTTTTTGTGTTTTTGCGCATGCCTTGTGCAGCTCACCCTGAATAGTGACATGTACGAAATCTCTGAACATGACAGCGCGGCAGAAGCTGCATGGCTTGCTGCCTTCAGGGCAGCTGCTGCAGTGTCCACTTTCTAGAATTTTGTAAAGTGTATGAAGAGCTGTGCCGTAGAAGCTTAGGCGGTTCGCCAGCGCGCGGGGAAGAGAAGCAGCATCTTCCATCAGCAAGCTCAGCGAAATCTGCAACTGCTGAAGCAAACCCTGGCTCGTCGGAGAGTCTAGCATGTTCGCTGGAAGTCTCAACACCACGGACAACTCCCCACTCGCTGAATAATACAGCAGAACAGTTGCCAGTTTACATCCCTCTTTCTATTTCTTATCCTAACTATTTGCCTGCACCTATGTGCTATGCACTTATGCTCGTTAGAGACCATTAGCTCGAAAAATCTTGGGCATAGTGGAGCAGCAGTAGCCTGTATTTATCTAAGACAGAACTCACCGTCCGCATACGTCCATGTCACAACGACTTTCTTCAGATTTCCCCCTGAGCACATATCCGCACTCTCAGTATTTGCCGTTTAAGCTTTTAATCTACGCTGCCGCTCTAGCTGTCGCTGCTGCTGCTGTTGAAGCTGTCTTTGCTGCAGCAACTGGTGCTTCTGCAAGCCTTGGCTTTACATGCAGCAAAGCCAATTCTTTGGGGAGGAAAGTTGTCTTCATACCTTGCGGCTTGTAGCGGAGCATAGTTGTAGCGACTTCCTTAGCAGCGCCGTTGATCTTTGCTGCGGAAGAAGCAGCAGCAGCACCACCAGCAGCACACAGTAGAATTAACACATTTTTGAGACATCATGCTGGATTTCAGAAAAGGAATTTAAGTGACTGCTGGTTAACTGTGCGTTGTCCTATCTTCGAGACCCACATATTTTGTTGTTCACTTCCATCAGAGCTGCGTTGACCGCCTCTTTTTCCCCTTCAGCCACAAATGCAAATCACAACAAACATAAAGGATTGAGAGGACCACAGCCCAGAAGCTCCCCTTGCTGTTGTGCTGCCTCTGGTGGCTGTGGGGCCCCCTAAGAGTTAATGCATAAGACGTTGATTCAGCTTTAGGCTTTTAAGTAGTGCTATGACCTTTTATTCAGTCGAATATATCAGGTGCAGTAAACGCATGCATGAATATATGCTTGCGAAAATTATATACATATATATGCACGCACATATTTCTATAGATTATATATGTGCGTGTATATATGCATACATATATAGGAATGCCTAGAGCACACAAATGCTTAATGCGGCGTAGGAAAATTAATGGAAATTCCATTATTGTGAGTGCGCATTTCAAAGAACCTTTTCTCCGGCTTCGCTAATTTCTAAAACGCTTTACTGAATTGGGATATCCTTGATTTTTCAAGGAAACGAACCCTGCGAAGAATAATAGTTACTGAGTCTGTGCAGCATGCTGAGCATATCTTCCGCTTCGCGTCCTGCAGACATGCATTATTTGTTCTTGAAACTTTATTTACCTGCGGAGTTCAGGTTTCCGCGTAAAGAACGACTTCAAATGCAACATTTTATATTCCAGAGGCCCTATTCTTTAACCTTCTCACGAGGAGCCCTCCACACAAAGAACTTGTTGTATACTGCATTTAGTGGAGCTCTGAGGTGAATGATATATTTGCAAAATAGACACAAGAGGCTAGGGAAAGAGGGGTCTCACCGACAGGTGGAGTCCTGTGGTGAGCAGCGTTGTACTGCGCGATGTCGCCTAATTGCAGAAACAGTTACGGAAACAGTTACAGAAACAGTTAAGCTTTCAGCCCTAAGAGCTTTTGAAGGCTAACACCCCGAGCCGCAGCTTTGGCCTCAAATTAAGCAGCACTATGCGGCTATACTTACGCTGCAGCACGAGAGTCTGAGGGACGGAGCCTGAGCAAAAGGGAAACGCAGAGATGATTAAATAAACCGGCATGGATGGAATTGACAGCACATGCACAAGCTAGCTCAATAGATTGCCACGCACATATGAGCACAGTGCAGGGATGCTCCTTGGCTGCTACTTCTGAGTAGGTAGCTCAGGCTGTATTTGCTTTTTTGCTTATTTTCAGGTCTAGTGTAAGGCTTCGACTGATTTCACCACCCATATTGAGGCGGTGGAAACAAAAGTAGATGTGCAGCCTCGAAAATGCAGCTTTAGCAGCCGCAGGGAAGCTGGAAAAACAGACTTGCTTTCGTGTTGCAGCTGTTTTGTTTGATGCTGCTGCTGCCATTGGCTTACTCAGCACGAGAGAAGCCCCTCTTTGCAGTTGCACCACTTTGTACTCCAGTATGGCTTTCGGGTCCAGCGCATCTGGGGTAAAAAATGCTGCCTCCGAGACTGCCACGAAAATGCCTTCTTTCTGATAGCCCAAAGCCAGCCTCCGGCCATCAGCTTGCTGGTACAAGAGGCCCGAGCTTTCCCCATTGGAGTTTTCGGTGGTGGAGGTCACGGCGTGGCCAAGGTCGGCGTCATCCGCCATAACACCTGTTTAGAAAAAGAAAAACCCCGCAGAAAAGTGCCAAAAAACCTGTAGAACAGCAGCAAACTGCTGCAGTTTGCTGCTGCCCAGAACTCCACTTAGACCCCAAACAGTTGCAAACCCCCAGCCCAGACCACTGGCCCTCAGCCACAGCAGACTGGCCACATTTGGAGTGCCAACTGACGAAGCTCTGTGACACTAAGAGCCTCTTCAGTGGAGAAGACCGGCTGGTAAACCCAAAGCTTAGCAACAGAGTCCCCGGGGGCCCCCTCGGGCTGCGAAAGCAAAGAACCCGCAGGAAGCTCCATCCAGAAGTTGCTGCCGGGGAGCTGCAGCACGAGGGCATCTCTTTCTGCTGCTTTGAGGGGGGCCAGGCTGAGGCGGCGGCAGGCCAGGGGGGCCCCGTGGGGCACTGCAGAGTGCAGCAAGTAGTTGGGCTGGTAGAGAGTGTGGTAGCCCTGGGAGGGGCAGGGGGCCCCCAGTTCTGCTTCGGAGAAGAGCTGCACTTTGGCTGCAAAGAAAGACAGGCGCAGCAGACACGGGGGCCCCTCAAGGAGGCAGCAAATGGCAAAGAAAGGGGGGCTGCATGCAGCCAGGGGCTTTGCTGACTTGGCAGCAATGTTGGTTTTCCCTCGAGAGAAGTCAACACAAAAAGCTGCTCTTCCCTCGCCTTCCCGAGCCCCGCCTCGAAGCGCTTCACAGATAAAAGAACTTCTTGACTTTCTTTCAAAACATCGCAACTCGCTGGCTGCCCAGTTAGCTTCAGCTCCACTGCGGGCACAGGGCCCCACAGCAGCAGCACAAGAAACCCAAGCCTGAGGCCTTTTGCTCTATGGGGCCCCCATGGCGGGCCTATGGGGGGCCACTTAGGTGCCGTTTTGCTGCTTTCGCCCCCCTGCTGCAGCGCAGCAGGTCTAGGGTTTAGGAGGTAGGGTTTAGGGTTTAGGGAGTAGGGTTTAGGGTTTGCTGCCTGGACTAGAGGCTGGCGTGGACTGCATTTTGGATCTTAATGACAGATTTTCTAGGGCCTCGGCTCGCAGGCCGCGCTGCATACTTTGCTGAGAATAAGGAAAGTTGTGGTTTGTGGGGGGCGCGTGGGGCTCAAAGAAAAGAAGATTGTTGGAGTTGCTGTCGCAGTAAATGGGGGGTGCCCTTCTGTTATTCGAAACTGCCACTATTTGTTTTCCAGTCACTAAAGGGGGGGTCACTTCGCAAAACTGGAGGTCCCCTTGGCTCTGCTCCACCACAGAATAAGAAGAAGAGTCCAGCTGGCGGGGAAACGACACAGGGCCAAAAGTAGAGCAATCTGAAAAGCAGCAGCAGCAGCAGCAGCAGCAGCAGCAGGAAGAACATGTTGCTGGGCAAGTCAGGAAAGTGCTGGCGGCTAAGGACAAATGCAGACGAAGGCTGCAGAGGGTTTAAATTCACAAGATGGAAGCAGCTCAGCTGACGAAGAAAGTCTTTTGGTGGCACCGAAAAGCTAGAAGTTGATTTTCGTACATACACCTCAGCAGTGTACGTACACCCCAAGAGTGTAAGTACACCTCAGCAGTGTACGTACACCCCAAGAGTGTATGCACGCCTGCAGACCTGTACATACACCTCGCGAGCCACGCAAAAACTCACTCAGCGTTTTCATTTCCAACTCTCCGTTGAATTGTCCCAAAACAACAGAAGATGCTGCGGGGTTCACCTGCGCCGGTCCTGAAAAGAGCAGCAAAACAAAACAATAAAATGCACAAACAAACTATTCAGTTTTCATCAAACGTTTTGCTCAAACGCAACACAGCTGCTGCGTTCCTTTACTGCACTACTACTGAAGCTTCTCTATTTAATCCTGCACCCTTGTGAGCGTTTGAGTACATTGCTGCTGCTCCGCTTGCAGCTGCTGTAAGAACTGCAGCTGCAGCAGCAGCTGCTGCAGCAGCAGCTGCTGCAGCAGCAGCTGCTGCAGCAGCTGCAGCTCTTGCAGTGTTTACCTGTGCGCGGGTGGAATACAAAGGGGCAGCAGCATTCTATTTATTTTTTTCAAATGGCTAAGTTTGCTCGAGCCTAATTGTGTAAACAAGCTGGTCCAAGCTACGCGGTGTTCGCTCGCCGCTGCTAGAAATTAGGGTTTAGGGTTTAGGGTTTAGGGTTTGGAGGCGCAGCACGCACGGGCGAGGATGCTGCCCCCTCCGGGGTACTTCAAATAGACCAACTCGCTTCCTGTTTCTGTTTTTAAAATTGAATTATTAGGCAAAAATTCAACAGAAGATTCGCCACTTTTTGTGAAGCACTGGCGGTTTGGCCGGTAGTCACAGAAGACGGGAAACCCCGAGGCCGCCAGCACTGCGCAGCACAAACCCTAAACCCTAAACCCTAAGCCCTAAACCCTAAACCCTATTATTAAACCTGAGAGACCAGACAGGAAGCCCGCGCGTTTAATTTACACGTTTTCAATACTTGCTAGAGCCTCACTTCGTTTGGCTCAACTGCGGGTGCTCGGCCCCAGACCTCAAACCCTAAACCCTAAACCCTAAACCCTAAACCCTAGACGGCGAGCTTTACCTGGGGTGAGTTTGGCCCCGCCTGCATAAGTGACAGTGAACAGCTGGAGGCGCTGAGTCCCCGCATTGTCTGCCACTTTAATGACTGCAGTTCCTTCTTCGAGTTTTCCCGTCACTTCTGAATCTTCAAAGAAAAACATTTCTGCATTTTGTTTCACTTTTACATCTTCAGGCAAAAGCACGAGACTGGGCAGCACCTGCTGGACGGCCAGAAGAG